ATTCAACTTATTCAGTGAATTAGTCGGTTGATTTGATTTCAAGATATCTGCCGAGCGTCATAATTTCAATTAAAATAGTAATAATTTCCTAAAAATGATAATTTAAAATCCGAAATAATTGCGGGGATATCCTAACCGTCCACAACTAATATTTTAATTTAATTGTATTTGTTCAGTTAAATATTACTTTGATACTGTCGGTTACTGCTGTACACCAGCTGATTTACTTGTAGTGGCATTGGACAATAGCCACACAATCCACAAAGCTGTGAACACGAGACTACTCAGAAAATAGATATTCAATATTTAACGCGGAGAAATACCTAACAATGGAGAAGGCGCGAACAATGAATTGAATGGACTGGATTTGATCGGATGGCATGGCTCGGCCATGCAGGCGTGGTCCATCTAAATGTTACCTTATATCTTCTATTCATGTTAAATATATTGTTCCTTCTCTAGCCTAACGTCGTTCTACATCATGTATTAGTAATTGATACGATACAGTGAGTTGGTGTAGTCGATGATGTGACTTCCGTGTAAGATCTTATAGATTAGGCAGTTATATCATGACAAATCTACAATTTTAGGATTGGGTCTATCATTAGAGCAGTACTAATATCGTAGTAGACCATAATTCTACATACTTACTCAATGTGCCTTTAAGAATGTTTTATTGTGACTTTTCATGTAAGTCTTCTAGTTAACTGGTACTATGAATACTGTGAATGCAATATTTCTCTGAATAGAGCTTTCGTGACAATATGGGGTTTCTGATATTTTGCCTTACCATCCTCAAGCCTATTACGCTATTCCACCTGTACCATGGATAGTTTCAGCAAAGATGACGTTGATATTAACAGAATAAAATCTTGTTATAAGTGTGTACATAACAAACGGTTTCTTGGTAATACTTTTCTACTATATGATTACGGTGGCTGTAAAAATCACCTGTATATAATGAAAAGAATTAAAGCCCTAATATGGTGCTCAATATTACTAGATACTGTCATTGAAGTTGGTTTACGACCGAAGGTTTGTAATTACTTCAAAATTTTCGGCCACAGAGGTTTTCTTGGAAATCTGCAAAGTCTTCTTTCCTCATGGAGTTCAAAAGTTACTAATTATTTTTGTTAGGACTATAGTGGATAATGTGTGCTACAGTGATTGCATTTTGTGGTTTCGGAATTTGGAACAAAAATTAACGAAGACTCTCAGAGGACAACACTTTGTGAGTGATGCAAAGAAGGTAAATTTGCCTTGATCTACTTACAGGAGTGTTAGTCAATAGTGGCCAATCAGGATCGATAGTCGACTTTGTTCTCTTGTGGCGTAGAGCTCGGTTACAATCCGCATATTTTCAACCTTAAATATGTTATCTAAAGGAGCATTTTGTGTACTTTGGCAGCTCGGTCACTATTTTTGAGTGGGCTAGGTCATTGTTTTACCTAATAGTGTCGTTGATATACGGTCCTACTTTACAAGCGATCAGGCCGTCATAGTTAAACTCCGGTAGAAAGAAGCTCTTTATTGACATTAGAAAGCTCAATACATTGTTTACACTCCAAAACCTATTATAATTTCGAATGATTGTAATCACTTGCTGTTGCATATGCGCTACTATTTGATGGATATTACCGCACAGAACAAACCATAATGTCGGCTGATAGTTATGATTTAATCATGTAGATAGACAGAACTCAACAGGCTTACGTGAACGTATTCTTAGTAGAAACAAGAGTCTAGCGTAAGATGTAACGTAGAGTAGATACCATTATGTATCAATATCTTAAACCTACACCAAACACTATTATCCGATAAAAAACCGTAACAAGGTTCTTGGTTAAAGGTCAAAAATAATAACAACCATACTTGTGTGTATGTGTACATCAAAATCAGTTATTCCGGAAAGTATAAATGTCACATCCACACGACTTTTATGCTATAGTGTTCATAAAACATTTAGGATAATGTAAATTCAGGACGTAATATTTATTAATGTTATCGCTGGCTTTAATCCGAATATTTATGTCAACTTCGTGAATATATTGATCGATAGCACGGCTATCTCAGAACAAACAAATTTCTTTGTTTGCCTTCTTTGTTTGTTCGAAGAAATGATCCATGACATTGTCAGAAAAGAGCCTCCGTAGTGTAGAATATTCACATCAATCTGACATCGTCGCTGCAAGTGATAACAATATTAGTCCTAGAATCTCGTTTATATTTATTCTTCATACCAGAATACAAGAATTAGAAAATTCTTTACAACAACGGTGACGATTAAGGCTACACTAAGTTGTAATTCAGTTTGAGACTTATAGTTAATATTTCTTCGCATGCTACATATGTCGGCTTTATGTGAATTTTTTCAGACAGCGGAAACAGTATGGAAAATCCACGGTACCAAACTTTCACTTTCCACAAGTTATGACTAACCGTATCAACTAGGTAATACTCCAGTACAGTAGGATACGAATTCTGTCAGTTAAAAAAATATGAGTTCCTGATATTTTGCTGACATACATGCTACTGTTTCCGACAATTTCACCTATAACGGTGAAGACAGTTTATCGTTACACTTTTCAGTTTTAAGAAAGTAGGTATATACTGGAAAAAACAGTTTTTCAATTGTCATGGAAAAATTCCACTTTTTAATTGCATGAGTCACGGTGTTATTTACCAGAAGGTTCAATTAACTATTATAGCATGGATTGAGTAACTCGAGCACATACTGTGAAAGAAATCAGCGACTTTTTGAAAGTGTTTTAGCGAAGAAAACCATGCAAAATGCTGTCGGTTGTCTTACATTAGCTCTTTACAAAGATACTAGAATTAGAATCTATATACTTTAGATCATTATATTATTGTGACCATATATATAGTTTGAATTTTCTAACAACAGGGAAATCCAAGCTGAATAACTTTTTTGTCTCAAAAGATGTATTTATTATACATTACGGGCAGATTTGTTTTTCTATGTCAAGTAAGGTTCAATCCGTCACAACCGCGTCCGTTGGTTGTGGGATCTCGAGTGGGTTCATCCGCAACGTTTCCATGTAAGCCTAATGTATCTACTTGTCTTATTATTGCAAAGTCGGATTTGGATTTGAGGAATGCAACTTTTCCAGTATCTAGAAACTATTTCTTTGCACAAAACAGTTAAAATTCAAGTGAAGTTACGTCATGTGAAAACTTTCGAAAGCCAGCCATCCAATTTAAAGAGGTTGAGGGAATTCTTGGGAGTTTTTAAGAAATTTTGGGGTTTCACTCAAAGTCGCGTGAAGGTTCTCTGTTTTGTTTAGGTCCTGGGAAGATCTAGGTAAAACCTAAAGTTTCTTTGATCGTTTTGGAGATTTTCCTAAAATACCATAAAATTCTGGAGGAAAACCCTGACCAGAGTTCTTGTCGCATTCTTCCAAAATTTGCTTAGAACATATAAATTTTTCCGTAAAATTGGTAGATTGGGGAGTATCCTATTTAACGGTTAAAGACACTTTGAATACAATGGAATCGAGCAAGAATGATATTTTTTATGCCGCGAAAATTGTATCGCACAAGAAGGTGATTACTGCTGTGGGAAACATTATATTTAAAATTAGGTCAAGATAAATAAGCTTGGGGTTTACGTTGAGGGTTTAAAAGCGTCATATTTGAGCTATTTTGGGATATGGCCATGATGACTGATCGAGTTTTAAACTATTTGTATTTGCTAGGAAAAGCACGGTTATCATCCGTGTTTGGTGTCAAAGAAGCTAATTGTTTTGGAGAGCTCTTCAGTGCTAAATTGCTTTCAATAGCTGTTTAAGTATTACAAGGAGTGAATCCTCTGGCTGGATTATAGTGTTATATTTACTGTCAGATAGGTTAATACACCGTCTCAATCAACAAAACTTTCAAACTGTTATGTGATAAGTTCGAAAAGCTTAGTTTAGTAGTTGCAGATGAGACGCAATCCCACAAATACCCTGGTATGACCGAGAGTGGGGTGGGTCCGCCCTACGTCGTGAAATGCTCTCGCACGGCCACGCGTATACAGCCTCTGCCAGGGAAGCCCTACTCACTGCTTTCTCGTGGCGGGGGTATTGTTTACGAAAATGAGAGTATAAAAAGCGAGTTCCGTCGTCCCAGAAAATTCCACGTCGTGCATTATTTGCCGACGCTGGAACTGGTTGGAAAAAGCGGAGAGGTGGTCAGTGTATGACATGGTGTCGTGGTATGAAAGAAAGTTGCGAAGGACTGACTTGTGTTGGTCCTTCACGACTCCCTAGCTGGGATCAGAGAGATGGTGCAACACAGTGGCTAGAGACGTTATCAGATATGGCTCAGAATAGAAGCCAGTGGCGATGCTGCTGTAACCTTCTTTTACTTTCTCCATAAAAAGTGGTTGTATCTTCCATAACTGAAAGATTTCTTCTGATTGTACCTTTCCGTTTCCTCCATTATTATTTTTTTTTCATTATTATTATTACACCGCCTTACACTAATCTGTTCGTCACTGTTCTTTTTTACGCTCCATACCTTTTTTTTCCATGAGAAATGAGGTTACTGAAAATATTTTTATGACCTTTATATGAATTAGTACAAAAACTCTACACAGGTTGTCTGAAGTACCTGTGTTTTTACTTGAGATTGCAAATAGTGTTCATCAAAAGAGTAAACGACGATATAGCAAACGAAGTACATTGAAACATTCTTTGCATATTATCGCATTTTATTAGAATTCATGACAAAGTTGATATTCGAAATTCCAGTTCTGTACGTACAGTTGAAAAACTACTAGATTACGTATCCAGTGTCTTAGTGTTTCAACCATGTGATTGTTGTAAACAATAATCAAATTTATACAATATTCATAATGCTTACATGCTAGTACGAATGTCTTATAACTTTAACACTATCTTTCCATTCATATAGATTAACATATCTAGATGTATGATTATCTGGATGTCTTCATTGGAACTCAGCTTTAATACACATCTGAGAGTGGCCTTCGGAAAATGGAGATCAAAGTCGGTAGCCCAATTAGAATAGAAGATGCATTTTATGTACCTGAAGAATTGTATCGTCAGTACAAAGAGATGAATATATCGAGTATATTTTCTTGGCAAGCTGAATGCCTTAACTTACCTGGTGTGCTTGGTAAGCCATGTGGTTTCACGAACATTTCAGATGGTCATAAGAATCTTGTCTATTCAGCTCCTACAAGCGCTGGGAAAACTCTTGTTGCTGAAATTATTGTATTAAAGCGCATTTTAGAATCTGCACTTAAAGCGTTTATCATTTTACCTTATGTCTCTGTCTCAAGAGAGAAAATGATATACCTACAAGTTAGTTTGTGGTTTCCTTCATTTTACTGCGATTTTTACGTTTTTGATTCATGAATGAGTGAATTTGACCCACTAGATTGTTGAACTTAATGTAATTTTTATAAGATTACGAGTTTTAGTGAGAGTTAATACTTAGGACTATATTAAAAGTAGTGCAGTCAGTCAGTAACAACGTAGAACTTCGTACGTACGTACATCAGTTCGAGTTGCCACACCACATTAGCACAGAGATGCACTTGTCGATTCAAATCCCGTAGTGGTAGAGGTAATAAGAGTATAAGCAGTAATCGGGAAGATTAGGGTTTGGAGATGTTATTTAAAGAGTATAATCCAGTGAAAGAAATTTGGAAAGAGGAAAAAAAGGGACATGAAGAATTCAGAAGATTAGAATTTGGGAGAACACAGAGAGTGGATGCACCTGCGCCATTGCAAACGATTTTGAGCCATGTCATTCAGGGTCTCTAACCATCGGTTGCTGTCATCTCGCGGTCCCCAACCAGGTAGTCTACACCTACCAACATGACTCAGTTCACTTGTCAGTGACTTCATGGACTTGTGCCATGTTTTGGTTTGGCCGCCCCTAGCTTTCTTCCAACCTACTCCTATACCACTGAACATAGCACGTCGAGGCAGTCGGTCGTTGGGCATACGTAACACGTGTCCCAGCCATCTCAACTGATGAAGTTTCACTACGTCATCAATTGATTTGCCATCCTTACCTAGTACCCGTTTCCTAACAACTGTGTTACTTACTCGATGGTCCCATGATATATGAGCAATGTTTCGAAGACACCTATGATCAAATACTAGTAACCTACGGATATCCTCTACTCTTACCGGCCATGTTTCACTGCCATAAAGTAGGACGGAACGAACTGCTGCGCAGTAAACACGTCCTTTGGTTGATAGACGGATATCTCGCCTACGCCATAAATGACGCAAGTTGGCAAAAGCTAGTCGAGCCTTCTGTATCCGTGCTGAGATTTCGTCACACACTAAACCACAAGGGCTGATGAGACTTCCAAGATAAGTGAAGCGGTCGACACACTCAACTACTTCACTCCCTATCACTAGTTCGGGTGTCGATGTAACCCAATCCTGAAGCAACATTTTGCATTTCGAGGGAGAGAATCGCATCCCGAACATGCTTGCATTGTTGCTTAGAGTGGTCAGAAGACTCTGCATTTTGTCAGTGTCTTCACCAAATAAAACTATGTCATCAGCATATTCTAAGTCAACAAGTGAACCTCCTGGTAGAAGTTCAACCCCTGTAAATTTAGATGAGGAGAGTGTTATCTCTAAAAGTACGTCGACCACAAAGTTGAACAAGAATGGGGAGAGTGGACAGCCCTGACGAACACCACTTGAGGTGATCAATTCTGATGACAGTTCGCCATAAGCTCTCACTCGACCAGTTGTGTTCGAGTAGAGAGCCTTTATAAGGTTAATGTACTTCTTTGGTACTCCTTTCAGTGACAAACACTGCCATAGAACCTCACGATCAATCGAGTCGAATGCCGCCTTAAGGTCGAGAAATACTACCATTGTGGGGCGTCTGAATGTGTGTCTGTGTTCTAGAACCTGACGTAGTGTGAATATCTGATCTATACAACCACGTCCAGGTCGAAAACCAGCCTGGTTTTCTCTAGTCTGCTCTTCACGAGCTTTAGTTAGGCGTCGAAGTATTATTGAAGCTAATATTTTAGACACTATATTAGTCAAACTGATTCCTCTGTGATTGTCACAAGAGGACTTTTGTCCTTTCTTAAAAACTGGCACAATCAGTGATTGAGACCAGTCAGATGGGATTACGTCCAGTTCCCAAATTCTACCTAAGACCTCAGTTAATCTCATTGCTAATACTGGACCACCATCCTTAAAAATCTCAGGAGTAAACCTGTCAGGGCCTGCTGCTCTCCCTCGTTTCAGATTTCCTATGGCTTTTTCAACTTCGTAAAGGGACGGAGGACCTACATTAACTTGCCATTCAGGTTGACTGGAGATCGTGGGAAACCGAAGTGTGGCTGAAGGCCAGTTGAACTGATCCCTAAAGTGTTCTGCCCATCGATCCAATCTCCTGGATTGAGAATGAATAATATGTCCATCTTTCTCTGAGATTGTTTCGCTAACGGTCGGGTTCCTAATTCCGGTTTCCTTAACGAGTCTGAACAATTGTCTGCTATTACCTATTGCCGCTGCCTTTTCCATCTCTCTTGCTTTCGCTACCCACCACTGTTCGCGATCATTGCGTAGACTTCTTGTCAGCTTGCGCTTAAGCTGACTCCGCTCTTCATTATGTTCAGAGCCAGGTGGAATGTGTTTCCGAGCATCTATCAGTGAGATAGATGCTGCTGAGATCCAGTGTTGCTCCCTAACCTTCTGGTTTACCTTACTAGCAGATATCACTGCTGTTTCCACAGCTTTTCGGATATCATTCCATGCTGCATCGGGGTGGGCATCACATACATGGCTGCCTAACTGTTTTCCTAGTTGTTCCTGAAATATACTCTTAGCTTGACTATCATTAAGTAGGGCCCTAAGAGGTTTCCTTGCAGGATCTTTCCTACGTCCAGTAAGACGCAAGCAAATACGCGCTCGCACTAGAGCATGATCTGAATCTAGGCATGTGCTCCAGAATGAGCGACAGTCTTCTATCGAGCCCCTCCATCGGTGGCTGATAGCGATGTGATCTAGTTGGGTCCAACGTTGGGACGAATTAGGGGGTCGCCATGTTAAAAGATGTTTTTCCTTATGCTTAAAGTTAGTATTTGCAAGGAACAGGCGGTTATCTGAGCATAGCTGCAACAGACGGTCGCCATTATCTGTTCTTTGAGCCACGACACCATAAGATCCACCTAGGTGTCTTTCCTTATCACTTAGTTTGCCTACTTGAGCATTAAAGTCACCGGCCACTATTACTACATCCGAGCGCCTAGCTTTTCGGAGAAGGTCCGAAAGCTTTCTGTAAAACTCATCTTTTACATCATCTGAGCTGCAGTCAGTGGGAGAATAGGCAGAGACGACGAAGAGGCAACGACGAGTGTCCCTATCTTTCCGGATTCTTACTGTTCCGTTCAGTCGGACAGCGCACAAACGACTGTCTATTGGGATCCACTCTAAGAGAGCTAGTTCTGCCCTAGGACTCAATGCTATACCTACGCCGGCGAGGCCACGGGAAGCAGAATCAGGGCTTCCAGATACACGAAGCGTAAATCGAGTCGGTTCTTTATTTTGGCATGGTGAGGTCAAATGAATGACGCTACTTGGATCCTGTATGCGCGTTTCGGAGACGCAGCACACATCGATGGCGCGAGATTCTAAAGTTTTAGCTAAGGAAGCCTGCTGTCCTATTTGGCAAAGTGTTCGTACGTTAAAAGCTCCTACGTGTAGTTTAGAGCGTGGTTTCAGGAGACCAGGAATGGCGTTCCACGTACTCGAATCGTTTGCCCTAGCGGTGCGAGGTGATAAAAAGACGTGAGGAGGGTTAGTCGGGAGGATAAGAGAAGTATTAGGAGGTGTAGGAAGGATTTGAATGTGACCACCTTGGTCTCTTGTGCTGTTACGGGTATGAGGGCTGATGTCACTTCCCGGCTGCCCACACCGTGGAAGGGTATTTCTTGAGGAACCTGAAAAGGAAATTGGATTAGTGTTGGTCTTGACGACCTGGGAGCGTGACCGCAGAGCCCAAGGGACAACTGCTTGAGGCCGGTCGCGCACGGCCTTTTTGTGGAAGGTTTTTGACGTGTTAGCTCCGTTCTTCAAGGGGCCTTACCGCCGGAGACGGAAATCCGTGAGGTAAGGTGAGGTGTGCATTTTTAGGGTCGACCTTTTCTAACCCCACCCCTCCTTGTGGGAAGGCAGCATCGCTGTCATGCTGGTTGTCCGAAGGAAACACCTTACTGCTGTCACACCTCTCTACAGTCAGCAGTACGACTTCGCCCTCAGACCTTGAGTTGCTGCTTTTAGTCTTACCGTTCGCCAATCGACCTGCCTGGCATGGTAGAACCTGCAGGAACATATGTTCCAGCCAATATAGCTCGGTTGGGTCATCACGATAGGCAAGCCCGATCACCGCGTCAAGGTAGCAGCTTCGATCGGGAAAAGTAGTGCTATGCAATTTAATTTTAGTTTTTTTTTTTTAGTACAGATTATTTAAACACAGCCGGTTACCTGTAATTAAGTCTTATGTTAAATCTTAATATCTACCAAATCCTATATATATTGGCCGAACGTTACTGCTACCTTAACATGGTGGTCGGGCTTGCCTATCGTGATGAACCGAAACGGATATACTGGCTGGAACAATCCTTCCTCGTGGTCCTACCATCCCGGACAGGTCGGTTAAAAAGGGGTAAGAGTAAAAGCAGCAAACTCAAGGTCCGAGGGCGAAGTCGTACTGCTGACTGCACAGAGGTGTGGCTGCAGTAAGGTGTTTTCTTCAGACAACCGGCATAACAGCGATGCTGCCTTCCCATAAGGAAAGGTGGGGTTAGAAAAGGTCGACACTAAAATTGCAGACCTCACCTTATCCCACGGATATCCATCTCCGGCGGTAAGGTCCCAACAAGTACAGAGCTAGCACGAAAATTACTCACAAAGATGTTGTGTGTGACCGACCTCAAGCAGTTGTCCTTTGTTCACTGCGGTCACGTTCTCGGGTTGCTGAGACGACCCATAACCCAAACTTCTCTCCAGGTACCCCCAGAAGAACCCTCTAGCGGTGTGGGCAACGGTAAGTGAAAATATCTCTCATACCTCTAACATCACTCAAGATAACTGTATTCATAATCAACCTCCTCAATCCTTATTATTGCTCCTACGTCGACTTTCAACTATAAACTTCCTCTTTTGTCTCCCCCCCCAAGTGTTACCATGGCCAACGATTCTAGTGCACGAAGCACTGTACCAGGTCTACTGAAACCTCGCTCCAAACTACACATTGGAGCCTTCAACGTACGCACCCTATATCAAATCGGCCGGCAGACCTCCTTGGCTAAAACCCTAGAATCTCGTACCATTGATTTATGCCGTATCTCCAAAGCACGCATACAGGATCCTAGTATGGTCATATACCTGACCTCACCTCGCCAAAAACGGAGAGCCGAGCAGGTGACTTTAATGCCCAGGTAGATAGTTTAAACCAAACAGAAAGATGTCTGGGTGGATATTTTAGTATTCCGGCTCAGCGAACAGATAATCGTGATCGTCTACTGCAACTGTGATCAGACAATTGTTTATTTATGACAAGCACTAATTTTAAGCATAAGGAAAGACATTGTCTAACATGGCGGTGACCCCCTGCACCAAACCAACGATGGACTCAAATAGACCATATTGTCATCAGTCATCGTTGGAGAGGCTCGATAGAAAACTGCCGCTTGTTCTGAAGTACATGTTTAGACTCTGATCATGCTTTAATACGAGCACGTATTTGCTTGCGCCTCACTGGACGCTGAAAAACCATATTAAGAGGATTCATTAGAGTTTAACTCAGCGACGAGGAAGCCAAAAGTAGATCCCAGGAACAACTAAGGTCACACTTAGGCAGTTCTAAAAACGAGGCTGAATCAGGCATTGCTTGGAAACATATACGAACATCTGTGAGAACAGCAGTGACATCTTTTAGTGGTTCAAATCAGACTCAGACTGTCGCACTGATTCTCATAAACTCACCCCATCAGGCTCTGAACACGATGATGAGTGTAAACAAATTAAATCTAGGCTAACCAAAAGTTAAAGGAGCGACCGTGAGCAGTGGTGGGCAACGAAAGAAAGAGAGACGGAAAAGGCAGCGGTTTTAGGTAACCCCAGACAGCTTTTCAGACTAGTAAAAGAAACTGGAATTAAGAAGTCAAATGTAAGTGATACGATCTCAGAAAAAGGCGACACCCTTATCTGCTCTAAGCCCAGACGTTTAGAACGATGAGCAGAACACTGTAAGGAGCAGTTCAGCTGGCTTTCAGCTATTCACTAACTACCCACCACTCCAAAACAGCCTGAACGGAACTTTAAAGTAGGTATTCCGACTCTAATTGAAGTTCAAAAGACTATAGCTAATCTGAAACGAGGAAGAACAGCTGGTCCAGATAGGTAATCCAAGATGTCTTCCAGTATGGTGGTCCAGTTTAGCGATTAGGCTGACTAGTCCCATCTGACTGGTCGCAATCACTGATCGTCCCCATATATAAGAAAGGATCAACATCATCCCATGACAACCATAGAGGGATTATTTTGACTAATATAGCATCTGAAATAATAGCCTCAATAATTATCGGACGCCTAATCAAGATTCTTGAATCGCAAATACCAGGGAACCTGGCTGGTTTCAGACCTGGTCGTGACTGCATCGACCACATATTCACCATTCGTCAGGTTTTAGAACACAGGCATACCTCTTGGTGTCTGACAATGATAGTTTATCTTGACCCAAAAGCAGCATTTGACTCTGTTGACCGAGAGGTTCTGTGACAGTGTCTGTTATTGAAACGTGTACCTCAGAAGTACAAAAACCTTGTGAAGGCTCTTTACTCGAGCACTACAATTCGATTCAGAGCTCATGGCGAACTGTCATCTGGATTCGCAACCTCAAGGTGTGTCCAGCAAGGCTATCCACTATCCCCATTTTTGTTGAATTTTATCAGAAACCTACTTATGGAAGTAACGTTCTCGTCGACTGAATTTTGGGGATTTGACCTGCTACCAGGAGGTCCACTTATCGACTTAGAATACGCAAATGACATAGTCCTGTTTGGTGAAGACGCTGATAAAATTCAATGTTTTAGTAGCAGTGAGCAACCATGCCAGGTTGTTTGGGATACGTTTCTCCCCCTCTAAATGCAAATTGTCGCTTCAGTACTGGCCTGCTTCAACACCTGAACTAGGGATAGGAAGTGAAGTAGTCGAACGCGTCGACAACTCCACTTATATGTTGGAAGTCTGATCAGCCCTAATGGGTTGGTGTCTGACGAAGTCTCAGCCCGGATTCAAAACGCTCGTTTGGCTTTTTCCAACTTACGTCACCTATGGCGAAGGCGAGACATCCGTCTATCAATTAAGGGACTAGTATACTGTGCGGCAGTTCGTACTGTTCTACTTAACGGCTGCGAAACGTGTTCATTAAGAGTAGAGGATCCCCGTAAGTTACCAGTATTCGATCACAGATGTCTTGGAAATATTGCTCGCATCTTCTATAGTCAATGGGTAGGTAATAGTGAGGTTAGACTCAGGGTATTAGCGAATGATGGTAAATCAGTTGATGAGATTGTGAATCTTCATTGACTGAGATGGCTGGTTCATGAACACCGATTACCACGGCGCGCGATGCTTACCAGGGTTGGCCATTAACTTCTAGTCTGAGCCATGTTGATAGATGTAGCCAATTGGTTGGGGTTAGCGTGACTATCGTAACCACTGGATGGGGACTCTGTACATGGCTGAGAATCGACCACAATGGCGTGGGTGTATATACTCTCTCTCTTCCTTTAAATGGTGAGATTAAATTTACTATATCTTTATTCTTCAGGCTCCTTACAACTCATTGAAGCCCGTCGATCTACTCCGGGTGACTGTGACTTTGACCACAAACGAAGGCTGTTACGTAATGAAATCGGGCAAAGCTTGCGTGTGAACCGAGAGGCCTGGTGGTCGGTGCGTGCTAATGAGCTGGAAGCACCAGCTGCATCTGGTAACTACCGGAATCTCTTCCAACTCATCCGAGTCACTGGCAGCAAGAAGTCTGGTGTGAGTGAAACAATCTGCGAGGATGATGGGATGCCAATCACTAACATCCATCGACGTCTTGGACGATGGGCAGAATTCTTCGAAAGGCAGTTCAGCTGGCCTGCTGCTCCGGCAACTTCGGTCAGACTGTCCTGCCCTCCATGGCCGGTGACGACTGATCCACCAAATGAGGCGGAAGTCCACAAGAAACTCCAACTCTTGAAGCGCTACAAATCACCAGGCCCAGATAACTTACCTCCGGCCCTTTTTAAAGATGGTGGTGACTTTCTGGCTAAGGAGCTGACTGTGTTGTTTACAAAGGTCTGGGAGCTAGAGAGCGTACCAACGTCATGGAATTAGTCGATAGTTGTCCCTATCTTTAAAAAGGGTTCACGTCGTTCCTGTAGCAACTATCGGAGGATAAATCTACTTCCGATTGCGTCCAAGCTAATGGCTTCCGTTATACTTCGTAGGTTGTTCAAAACCCGAGAAAGATTGACTCGCGAGGAGCACGCTGGTTTTTGTTCTGGTCAAGGATGTATTGATGACATATTCACCCTCCGCTAAATGTTAAAACACTGTCATACTTATCAAAGGCCAACAATCGTAGTGTTTCTTGACATCAGGGCTACCTTCGATTCGTTGGACAGGACTGTCCTCTGGGATTGTCTATTGAAAAAGGGTGTGCCTGAGAAGTTTATTAACATTCTAAAAGCCCTATATACAAACACCTCAGGCAGAGTGAGGGCATACAACTACCTCTCTCCATTGTTCCATTCGAGCAGTGGGGTTAGGCAGGGTTGCCCAATCTCACCATTCTTCTTCAACTTTGCCATCGATGACATTCTGGAAACAGCTCTGATGGATGTAAGTGATGGTGGTGTGGATCTGTTGCCTGGAGAAAGACTCCTCGACCTTGAGTATGCTTATGATATCGTCTTACTGTGCGATAATGCCCAAGCCATGCAATCCGCACTTAATCAGTGTCCGTAGATATGGTATGTGCTTTGCACATTCGAAGTGCAAAGTACTTCTACAAGACTGGCAGGATTCTGATGCTGTACTCACGATGGATGGTGAGCAGATAGAAGTAGTCGAGACGTTCGTGGGTCTGTGTAGTTGCGGAAGTGCTGATATTGGCTTGAATAATGAGAAGAATTCATGTATAGTAAAAGCCACAGCAGCTTATGCTAATCTGGGCCATGTTTGGCGCCTTCGTGATGGTAGTCTGGCTGTGAAAGGTCGGATCTACAACGCGTCGGTGAGAGCAGTTTTGTTCTATTCTTGTGAAACCTGACCTTTCCGAGTTGAGGACTTTAGACAACTCTCTGTGTTTGGTCATCGTCGTCTCCGAAGGATTGCTGACATCCAGTGGCAACACCATGTTAGTAATGCAGAGGTTCGGCATCGTGTGTTCGGGCACAGAGACGATAATTCAATTGGTGTCACCATCTTGAAACACCGACTTCGGTGGATTGGACATGTTCTACGAATGTTGTCCCAGAGGATCCCTCGTCGTGCATTATTTGCCGACTCTGGGACTGGTTGGAAAAAGCGGAGAGGTGGTCAGTGTATGACATGGTGTCGTGGTATGAAAGAAAGTTGCGAAGGACTGACTTGTGTTGGTCCTTCACGACTCCCTAGCTGGGATCAGAGAGATGGTGCAACACAGTGGCTAGAGACGTTATCAGATATGGCTCAGAATAGAAGCCAGTGGCGATGCTGCTGTAACCTTCTTTTACTTTCTCCATAAAAAGTGGTTGTATCTTCCATAACTGAAAGATTTCTTCTGATTGTACCTTTCCGTTTCCTCCATTATTATTTTTTTTTCATTATTATTATTACACCGCCTTACACTAATCTGTTCGTCACTGTTCTTTTTTTACGCTCCATACCTTCTTTTTTTTCGTCTTCGAATTCTCGTTGTTTTGTGTGGCGCATATATAATGGGTGCCCTCTTGTACCAATATTTATTTGTTCAAATAAATAAATAAACATATGAAATATACCCTTATTTCTACGAACGAAGCCTTTCTCTCTGTATCATATCCTTATATGAAGTCTTTTTATATTACTTCTACTGATATGACTACTTTATATCTTTGGTGTTAATGAGTTGTGGCAACTTTGACTGATAAATTTATGTGCCTGATCTTACGTTGTAAATTACTGACTGACTGGTATCTATATTGATTTGCATAGTTAGTCAAAACATTTTTTTATTTGCTTCCTTTATATGTTTCTTAGAAACTTTTTAACAATTTGGGCATTCGTGTTGGAGGTTATATGGCTGGCCATAGTCCACCTGGAGGATTATCTGCTATCAATGTAGCTGTTTGTACGATTGAAAAAGCGAATAGCTTAGTTAACAGATTAATTGAAGAAGAACGTTTGGATGAATTAGGTATGTAGACGCTCTATGTAACTTCTTTGGAGGAAATCTCGTTTTAAGCGGAGATGGATGATGGCTGATAATGGGATTTAGGACGCTCGTTTCTTCCTAATCGTTACTCGTCGGCCGCATGTATCTGCACCTCAGAGTTGATGTTCACTCTCCGAAACTCGTACTCAGCACCGTTCGCTCCAAACGTCATCTCCTTATCCACTTAGCTTATGAGTCCAGATAGCCACCAGGTTGTGCAATGGGGTGAAGTCCGATTCATTTTTGTGTTGATTGTTTAAATCTTCTCATTGACATTTAGGACTGCAGTAGATCAGTATCTTTTTGGAACAGGATGCACTAATCGATTTCAATTCTACACGTCCATGGAAGATTCACACAACTAATACAAAGATGGATTAAATCTCTTCTCTTTATTAGCTATAAATCAGAACAATTTTGCTAGTACAGTAAATTTAGATTAATATTTTTGTTACGTGTTTCACTGTTTAATTTTTAAGTAGTGTGTATTAAAGTAATGGTCAAAGCAGCTTTCTCATAACAGTAGTTTCTAGTCGGCTTCTTTTTTAGTTTTATGATCCAGTTTAAAACATTATAAATTATAACTCTTGATGACAGTCAATTTCACAATTGACAAGTTATTATCCTTTCACATTTATGCTCATAAATGTATGAAGTTTATAAACAGATTGTTTGTTCTTGCTTTCATTTATAAATAACTCGTAATTTTTAATGGTTTTGTAGTGAATGATCACGCATTGGGCACAATCGAATGTATTTAAATACAAAATTACAGAACATCTTAGTAAAATCTGAGAACTAGACAGTAAATACTTGATTTGCAAAATGTCAATCAATCATCTCAGACTTCATTGTTCTTTCGTTTCAACACCAATCATCCTCTGTTCTCGTTCTCCTGTCTTCGATCTTCTTAACCTTCTGCCGCCAGGCGTTTCACTTTCGATTGATAATACATACTACTTATATCTGTCAACATCAGTAGCACACACCACAGTTTCATCTAGATGTGAAGTATGAGTAGTGGATTAAAATCCCTTGTTAGTTATCGAAATTTAGGGATTAAGACTGTATCATTGCTTTGTACGTTAAACTTCACTTTGTTACTGGATCGTATTTTTTCTGCTTTACAAGATATTTTATGATGTATATAAACGTTGTATTATCTATCATTTGGTTAAACCGAAAGACTTATATCTCACAAAATGTACTCCTTATGACCATGTCGTTTTCTTTATATAGAGGTACAATTTCTATCTGGAGGTTTACTTGGCAAATAGTATCAGATGATCTCACTAATAATGTTTATCAATAGGCTTAAGTGAGAGTTTTATTCTAACACAAAATCCTAATTCACTTTATTTATTCAGAAAATTTTGTTTACTCAATTGACTTTGGATTTTTATTCGTTTAACTTTTAACTTTATATTTCTAATAAAAATCTACGTATAATTTTAAGTAACACGTATTGTTTAACTGAAACATTTATTTTTATAAATTTGATTTTTAGGTATTGTTGTCGTCGATGAACTACATCTTATCGGTGACACTCATCGTGGTTACTTATTGGAGTTGTTGTTGACAAAATTACTTTTTTATTCACGTCGTACATCGAATTTCAAACATACAAATGAAATTAAGATTTTAGAAAACTCTCAAAGTTCATTAAATAAATGTTGTGATTCTAAAGCCTATGGTATCCAAATTGTTGGTATGAGTGCTACATTGCCTAATCTTAAATCGCTTGGACAGTGGTTAAATGCTGAAGTTTATATTACAAATTTTCGTCCTGTTCCACTAACTGAATTCATATTGTCTTGTGATTTACGTTCGAAAACAAATCAGTTTTATAAAATTGTCACATCTGCTAGTAAAGATGATAGCTCTACTCAACAACTGTTGTCGGAGTAAGTGAGCGTAATGTGTAACTTACTGATTTTTTGTGACACACCACTCGATTTCTATTAATATCAGAGTATATGAATTGGTAATACTGCTTATTCTAATGTGTGTGAGACTATCATTACTTATTTGCATAGTGTATAACTCTTGTGTATCAAAATGTCCTTGTCCAGACCGTTGTTGCTACCTTGACGTGGTGGTCGGGCTTGCCTATCGTGATGAAGCAACCGAGCTATACTGGCTGGAACAACCGTTCCTCAAGGTCCTACCATGTCAGACAGGTCGGTTGAAGAGCGGTAAGACTAAAAGCAACAAACCCAAGGTCCGAAGGCGAAGTCGTACTGCTGACTGTACAGAGGTGTGACAGCAGTAAGGTGTTTCCTTCAGACAACCAGCATGACAGCGATGCTGCCTTCCCACAAGGAGGGGTGGGGTTAGAAAAGGTCGACCCTAAAAATGCACACCTCACCTTACCTCACGGATTTCCGTCTCCGGCGGTAAGGCCCTTTGAAGAACGGAGCTAACACGTCAAAACCTCTCACGAAAAGGCCGTGCGCGACCGGCCTCAAGCAGTTGTCCCTTGGGCACTGCGGTCACGCTCTCAGGTCACTGAGACCACCTCTAATCCAATTTCCTTTTCAGGTACCTCCAGAAGAACCCTTCCACGGTGTGGGCAACCGGGAAGTGATAACCGCCCTCATACCTCTAACAGCACTCAAGACCACTGTATTCATAATCAACCTTCCTCTTCAATTCCTATTATTCCTCCTACATCGACTTTCAACTCTAAATTTCCTCTCTCGGCTTCCACCTCAAGTGTCACCATAGCCAACGATTCTAGTGCGCAAAACACTGTCCCAGGTCTACTGAAACCTCGCTCCAAACTACACATTGGAGCCTTCAACGTACGCACCCTATGTCAAATCGGTCAGCAGGCTTCCTTGGCTAAAACCCTAGAGTCTCTTTCCATTGATGTATGCTGTGTCTCCGAAACACGCATACAGGATTCCAGTGTGGTCATTCACTTGACCTCACCTCGGCAAACGGAGAGCCAACGAGATACACCCTTCGTGTATCTGGTGACCCGATGGCCAGTTCTCGTGGACTGGCAGGTGTAGGCATAGCACTAAGCATGAGGGCGGAACAAGCACTGCTAGAGTGGATCCCCGTCAACAGTCGTCTATGTGCTGTTCGGCTGAACGGCTCCGTAAGAACTCGGAAGGATAGGGACACACGTCGTTTCTGCCTACGCTCCCACTGACTGCAGCTCAGATGAAGTGAAAGATGAATTTTACAGAAAGCTGTCCGAACTTCTTCAGAAAGCTAAACGCTCAGACATAGTACTCGTAGGGTGACTTTAATGCTCAGATAGGTAGTTTAAACCAAACAGAAAGGCATTTAGGTGGATATTTTAGCATTCCGGCACAGCGAACAGATAATGGTGATCGTCTGCTGCAACTGTGCTCAGACAATCGTTTATTTTTAGCAAACACAAATTTTAAGCATAAGGAGAGACATCGTCTAACATGGCGACCCCCTACACCAAACCAACGATGGACTCAAATAGACCATATTGCCATCAGTCATCGTTGGAGAGGGTCGGTAGAAGATTGTCGCTCATTCTGGAGTACCTGCTTGGACTCCGACCATGCCCTAATACGGGCACGCATCTGCTTGCGCCTCACTGGACGCAAAAAAGCCACATTAAAAAGACCCATTAGAACTGAGTTGAGTAACGAGAAAACCAAAAGTAGGTTCCAGGAACAACTGAGGTCACACTTAGGTAGTTGTGAAGACGAGGCTGACCCAGATGTTGCTTGGAAAGACATACAAGCAGCTGTGGAAACAGCAGTGACATCTATTAGCGACTTAAACCACAGAGTTACAAAGAACCAGTGGATTTCTTCAAAGTCTATCACACTGATGGATTCTCGCAAACTCGTCCCATCAGGTTCCGAACATGATGAAGAGCGACAACAAATCAGATCTAGGTTAAGAAAAAGTCTAAGGAACGACCGTGAGCAGTGGTGGGCAACGAAAGCAAAAGAGATGGAAAAGGCGGCGACTATAGGGAACACAAGACAGCTTTACAGACTAATAAAAGAAACTGGAATTAATAAGTCAAGTGTAAGTGAGATTATTTCGGAAAAAGACGATACTCTCATCTGCTCCCAGTCCAGACGTTTAGAACGATGGGCGGAACATTTCAGCTGGCCTTCAGCTACTCTACAACTACCCTCCATTCCCAGACAGTGTGAATGGAACATTGAAGTAGGTCCCCCAACTCTTGCTGAAGTTCAAAAGGCTATAGTTAATCTGAAACGAGGAAGGGCAGCTGGTCCAGATGGACTGGCTCCAGAAGTCTTTAAGGATGGTGGTCCAATTTTAGCGATTAGGTTGACTAATATTTTAGCTAAAATCTGGGAGTTAGACGTTATCCCATCTGACTGGTCACAATCACTTATCGTCCCAATATATAAGAAAGGGTCAAAATCATCCTGTGACAACCACAGAGGGATTAGTTTAACTAATATAATATCTAAAATACTAGCCTCGATAATTATCAGACGCCTAACTAAGACTCGTGAACTGCAAACACGAGAGAACCAAGCTGGCTTTAGACCTGGTCGTGGCTGCATCGACCACATATTCACCATTCGTCAGATTCTAGAACACAGGCATACTTATCGGCGTCCGACAATGGTGGTCTTTCTCGACTTAAAAGCAGCATTTGACTCTGTAGACCGCGAGATTCTGTGGCAGTGTCTGTCATTGAAAGGCGTACCCCAGAAGTACATAAACCTTGTGAAGGCTCTTTACTCGAACACTACTAGTCGAGTCAGAGCTTATGGCGAACTGTCATCTACCTTTGCAACCTCAAGTGGTGTCCGTCAAGGCTGTCCACTTTCCCCATTTTTGTTTAACTTCATCATAGATCTACTGATGGAAATAACTTTCTCGTCGACTGAATTCTCGGGTATTGATCTCCATCCAGGAGGTCCACTTATCGACTTAGAATACGCAGATGACATAGTCCTGTTTGGTGAAGACGCTGACAAAATGCAGAGTCTTCTGGTAGCACTAAGCAACAATGCCAGAATGTTTGGAATGCGCTTCTCTCCCTCTAAATGCAAGTTGTTGCTTCAGGACTGGTCTGCGTCAACACCTGAACTAAGGATAGGGAGTGAAGTAGTCGAACGCGTTGACAACTTCACTTATCTTGGAAGTCTGATCAGCCCTAATGGGTTGGTGTCTGACGAAATCTCAGCACGGATTCGAAAAGCTCGTTTGGCTTTTGCCAACTTACGTCACCTTGGCGAAGGCGAGATATCCGTCTATCAATAAAAGGACGAGTATACTGCGCGGCAGTCCGTTCTGTTTTACTTTACGGCAGCGAAACATGGCCATTAAGAGTAGAAGACACTCGTAAGCTACTAGTATTTGACCACAGATGCCTTAGAAATATTGCTGGCGTCTGCTGGGATCACCGGGTAAGTAATAGTGAGGTTAGACGCAGGGTATTAGGGAATGATGGTAAATCAGTTGATGAGGTTATGAATCTTCATCGACTGAGATGGTTGGGCCACGTGTTACGTATGCCTGAACACCGATTACCACGACGTGCAATGCTATCCGGTATTGGAGATGGTTGGAAGAAAGTTAGGGGCGGCCAAACCAAAACGTGGCATCAGTGCTTGAAGTCACTAACTTGTAGTCTGAGCCATGTTGGTAGATGCAGACTACTTGGTTGGGGTCCGCGTGACTATCGTAACCAATGGTTGGAGACTCTTGGTGACATGGCTCAGAATCGATCACAATGGCGTCGGTGTATACACTTTCTGTCTTCCCTTAAACTAAGAGATTAAAATCACTTCATATCTTTCTTTCTACGAACCAATTCTTTCTTCTTGTATTATATCTCTATATGCAATCTTTCTCTTATATATTACCACCTTTGACATAACCACTGCTATGAATCCGGTGTTCATCTTGTTGTGCTGATGCGGTATGGCAACCTGGACCGATGCACATATGTGCCTGGTCCTACGTTGTAGCTGACTGACTGACTGAATTGGTTGCATTATCAGTACTCTGTGATTCAAGTGATTTCAGTACAACATGATTATTAATTAAACAGTAAATTCGGTTCAAAATCTAGTTCATGTATCTCTTTTATTAAAGTGGTTTGAAACAATCTTAAGCAGTCACTAAACCTTACATCACTCATCAAGTCGTAATCCATAACAACGTTTGCCGCAATTCGATTTTTTGCTCATGTTTTAAGGTTTAAAAATGCCGATTAAAAGTTTGGTAATGCTGAGCATGTGAGGAATGAACAAGACTCTTCGAGGTCTCAATGTACGTATCGAAACAGTATGTTATCTGTCGAGGTGAATGGTTTTAATGATGAAGATATCATTAAACGGTCAATGTTGAAAATAGGGTTTAGGGTTTACGATTAAGATTTAGAATTTAGGGTTCGAGTTAGGATCAAGGTTTTGGAGTTAGGATTTAAAATTAAGACGTAGACTAAGATTAAGACCTTATGGTTTCCTCTTATCTGACTAATTAGGTCGTATGAATGATTGTTGTCAAAATATACATCGTGGCTATCTTCGTATATTTTTATCGACTTAACTCGCGTTAGTGAATAACGGAATAAAGTGAGTCAAATATCAGATTAGGTTTTTGAATACGCATATTTTGTACACTCATTAGTCAGGACAGATAATCAGAGGAATGAAGCGAAGCTGAATGACGTTCAGTGGAGATGGCATGTGCGCCAACTCCATTTAATTAAGCGTTAATCAATATTTACAGTCACACAAAAATAAACTGCAGACATGAGATGTGTGGGATAAAATAAACACATATACGCTCATATAAAAAGTCAGGGCTGATAAGTGAATTATTAACAAGATCAAAACGTGACTCAAGAAGCATCAATCGACTGGCCTGTCCAGAAGCCTAAATAAGTTATGTGGGCTTAACATAGTAACCGACACTACAACCTCATATAGACTAACTGTAAGACCTAATCTCAATCCTAAATGATGCAACCCATTTCCTAGACGCTAACCCTAACTAGATTCAAACGCAAAACTGTTCATTCGAGTCTTTACTCTAAATCTTAGCATTATAAATCATACATTCATATTTACTGATTTAATGGAGTCTTGTTTCTAACCTTCTTCCTCGTCTAAGTCATTTTCACTCCTTTTTATTACTTTGCTTTTATTTTTTTCTTAACATCTATTTGTATAAATTTAGATGTTTAGAGCCTGCTGATAATTTACCTTTGGATCCTCAATTAACTTCTGATACTGAACTAAATATGATCGATGAAGATGGTGTGTTTGCTTTGTGCTTTGATACACTTTTGAATGGACATGGTGTGTTAGTATTTTGTCCAACTAAACAATGGTGTGAACAATTAGCGGATACAATGGCTCGTCAAGTCAGTCAACTTCGATTGTTACTTTAATATCTAGTTAAGTGTTTTTCCCTCTTGTTTTCTTACTTATAAATAAAAAAATAAACCTCCTAGGCATTAACCAATGATTTATAGTTATTCCAAAGGTCCTAGGACCGATGTGTAGTAATCCCAGTCTCCAAGTCTTTTAACAGAACGAGGTAAAAATAAATACAAAGGAGTGTAAATAAACAATATTCGAAACTTAAACATAAAGTTTTGTCGCAACTACCAAATGATATCATGAAGTGGGGAGTGTGCTTTAATACTACATTGAGAATTTAGAAGATAAAGAAGTAATTGTGCCATTGTGATTGATGTTAAACCATAATATTTACTAGATGTAAACTTTAAAGTATTAAAATTCGAAATCGTTTTTCAGCAACTGGTAGTTTATTTCAGAAAGTGTATAATCTTCGATATCGTCAATTTAATTGATTTACAGTGAACACTTTTCCCATACATACATTTTGTGCTGTAGATTTTCATTCTCACACAATCATACTTCTCAGCTTCACATCAAAGCGACCATAATCCATCTGATGCGAATATCGGAAATTTGACTTACAAAAATTCAGATGATCATTCAGTACAATCAAATATTGGAACGCGTTTAGCATTACAGTTGGATCGGGTTGGTCTTGTCACTTGTGTAGAGCAATTAAAACGATGTCCAGCTGGTCTTGATACAATTTTAGCCAGATGTTTAGGTTATGGTGTGGCTTTTCATCATGCAGGTTAGTAAAAATTTGTAACAAATTTTAATGTGTGATCATCAACGTTTTTAGTAAATGTTCAATACTTACTTATACATTTGCAAGTAATGTAGATTTTATGGTAACAAAACTTTTGTATAAATTGGGTTTTTTGGTAAAATGTTCATAATTTTCCTTCTGTCGTAGTGAAAAATGGTTGAACACATGAGAACACGATGTGTGAATGTGTTCGTGTTCTCATGTGTCCAACCACGGTGTGTGAATCAACAATGTAGGCATGCTCGGCATGCGATTCTTCCCCTAGAAACCCAAAATGTTGCTTCAGGATTGGGTTGCATCGACACCCGAACTAATGATAGGGAGTGAAGTAGTTGAGCGTGTCGATCGCTTCACTTATCTTGGAAGTCTCATCAGCCCTTGTGGTCTGGTGTGTGACGAAACCTCAGCACGGATACAGAAGGCTCGACTAGCTTTTGCCAACTTGCTTCATTTATGGCGTAGGCGAGATATCCGTCTATCAACCAAAGGACGTGTTTACTGCGCAGCAGTTCGTTCCGTCCTACTTTATGGGAGTGAAACATGGCCGGTAAGAGTAGAGGATATTCGTATGTTACTAGTTTTCGATCATAGGTGTCTTCGAAACATTACTCGTATATCCCTGAGACAATCGAGTAAGTAACGCAGTTGTTAGGAAACGGGTACTAGGTAAGGATGGCAAATCAATTGATGACGTAGTGAAACTTCATCAGTTAAGATGGCTTGGACACGTGTTACGTATGCCCAACGACCGACTGCCTCGACTTGCGATGTTCAGTGGTATAGGAGTAGATTGTAAGAAAGCTAGGAGCGGCCAGACCAAAACATGGCACAAGTCCATGAAGTTACTGACAAGTGGACTGAGTCATGTTGATAGGTGTAGACTACCTGGTTGGCGACCGCGAGATGATAGCAACCGATGTTTAGAGACCCTGAATGACATGGCTCAAAATCATTTGCAATGGCGCAGGTGCATACACTCTTTGTGTTCTCCCAAATTTTAATCCCCTGATTCCTCCTCGTCTCTTTTTTCTCTCCCCAGATTTATTTCACTGGATTATACTCTTTAAATAACATCTCCAAACCCCAATCTTCCCGATTACTTCTTATACTCTTACTACCTCCATCACTACGGGATTTGAATCGACAACTGCATTTCTGTGCTAATGTGGTATGGCAACTCGAACTGATGCACGTACGTACGAAGTTCTAGGTTGTTACTGACTGACTGATTGTGTGAATACTCTATGGCATAGCTCATTTTGATAGATATACAATTGGTCATTCCTAAAGTTTATGTAAATTGTTTAGCAAGCAGTAAAATGATTGTATCTATTTTTCTTTTCATATAACGAAAATCTTCATTTTGACATAAAGCGGGGAAATTTCTTTTCAATCGGTTTTTTTAATCATGGCTCTACATTAATTCAACTTACATTTATGATTCAAAATAATGAAATACTATTTTTTTTCCGTAAACTTTTTATGTCATTAAGATAATTATTCGATTCAACCTGATTTTTACATAATTAACCTCCATTTACTATTATCATAGATTTTCTCATTTATTGTAAATTGTTCAAACTGAAAATAAGTATTTGTTTAACACTCCTTAGTGTTGACTGAAGATTGTTTTATTCTATCATTCACTTAATTATTCCTCATTAATATCGATAGTGTAATTAGATGGGAGATGTGGTTTGAAAAATCTGTCATATGTTCACGTCATCAGATTGTATAGTTACTTATACTCGTCAAGGCATTTATATATGAAAATTCATGACCTTTAATTAAATAAATGGTCAAATAAATACAAATTGATCATTGGCAATGATGTACGAAAAGAATTGGAGTTATTACACTGTTTTAGGCATAAAAGCGAATTTAATATTTGCACGAAAAATTCAAGTTTACAATAAACCGTTTCTATAAATTCAAAGAAAGCTTAAATTTTTAACTCTCAGATCAAATCGTCTTTTCACTACGCTATCAAAATCTATAAAATAGGACAATGGTTTTAAAAATCTTAATCGAGGAATTCATCTTTATTTCATCATTCATGACTTGAAGAATATAGGCATATGGAAATCATTAGTTTCTGTTTGTGAAGTTATAAATCATAAATTTATGGCTGAACTGGGTAAACCATTCGGATTGTCTTAGTTATTGAGTTACAGGTTTGAAATCTGTTACAAGTACTGTACAAGTACTTCCTCACACACCTTTAAAAATCATCTGTGGAACTACTTTAATTTATGTCTAGCCACGTATAAAACTTGAGGTTTTATTTTTATGACAATTTCATATCTACCTCAGTAGGCAGGTAGTTCGACATTCTCAGTTGTACATCATCTAGAAAACCTGTGCAAGGCATTTTACAGCGGTTGCACCTTAGTTCGAAGATCCTCAACAACTTTCATTCAAAAATCAAAAAAGGACTGACGAGGGAGATATTGGGTTTTGCACAAAACATGTTATAATCAGATAAATAAGCTTAAATCTTATCCATGAATTGTGGAAGTACACTGGGGTTGGTATCTCGTAAGTTTAGTGAATACACTTTACTAGGTTTTCATTCGTTTGGTAAGTTTTATCAGTCTATGGTGAAAACAAAATTCAAAACTGAACAAATCTGTATAAATCAATTATCTGGATTTTGTATATTCAGATTAATTCTAATATTGATTGTTTGGTTTTAGAAGTTATTCATTAATTTTTTTATGTACATAGGTCTTACAGTCGAAGAACGTGAGATTATTGAATTTGGATTTCGTAAAGGACTTATTCGTATTTTAATTGCTACTTCTACATTAAGCTCTGGAGTAAATCTACCTGCTCGTCGTGTTATCATTCGAACACCATTATTTCATGGAAAAGTTTTAGATTTTCTCACTTATAAACAAATGTCTGGTCGAGCAGGTCGTCAAGGTGTAGATACTAGTGGTATGTTTTCATATGATCTTATTAATATATCGCTACTCATATTGTGCATTTAAATCCTGGTGTACCAATCTTCTTAACTTCTGTTTTACAATTATTACCATTCACAGTGTCCATTAATGTTGTTGTGGGCTGAAATTTGACAAGCGCGTGAGTTTTGAATTGGTAAAATAAATGAATCGAATGCTGACCAATAGCTAATATACAATGATACAAAGTACAATTGGGTGATTGTTGGTTATGTTACGGAATTATTGACGTAATCACCCATTTAAACTGATATCAGGAAACAGGATAACTCCCCAGCGGATTAGACCATTATATTAGCCTGCCCATGCACAAAAATCCTCCAAGTATGATATCTGAATTTCTGACTAGTGTTTATGGCAATGGTTATTATTTTTCGAAACCTGTGTAATATTCTGTATTCTTGTGTTTTAACTGCTACATCCATCATAAATGTTGCCTAAGTATATATGTAACGTGATTGAACTCGTTTGTAAGTCATTTAATTTTAAATTATTGAATCCTGGTTTTGGACTTTGATCCTCTAACGCTTTTGTTTCAGACACCGGACAATGTCGCTAGCTCTCACCAAAAACATCTGATGAATATTGACTTAGTTATTGAGTTGTATTTCATCTACTTTAAAATACGCCTATCACCTATATGATTTTTAATACTTCAATTGTCCTTCGAGAAATTAGAGTATTTGTTGAAAGTGTGTGTGGGAAAACACGTTTTTGATTAGTCATAAAGCAAAGGAAGTGAGGTTAAAACGAACACATTTTATACCGTTAAAAATATCATTCCGTTTTTCACTAATCACCTTTACTAATGGGTGTCCTTTCGATAGTCGCCCTTATTAGTGTGAACCCCATGGATGGGCACTGCTAAAGATCCCCACACTAGTCGTCTAGTGCTTCCTGGTTGCCAATATTTGTTTGGCCAAAATCAATCCGTGATGTAAAACAAAGTTCAATAATATCTGAAAAGTCTATGATGACAAGCTAAAATATTTGGAGCGGGATTTAGACTTAATGAGATTCAGGTGCTTAAACCAGTAAATCGCCTCTCTCAAAACATTCTTGAGAGTTGTGACTTCCGAACGACTATCTCCTCCAATGTATTCATTTTATTTCATGTGTCTTTAAATTTATTCACGTGTTTAACTTAGGTCAAAGTATTCTATTATGTAAATCAAAAGATCTGGGACGTGTTCGTCAACTGATAATGAACGGTATGCCACCTGTGAATTCATGTTTGATGGGTGACGGAGGTAGCCCTGAATCTAGTCTAAAACGTGCTCTGCTCGAGGTTTGTACATGCATATATATATTGATTATTGTTTTTGTTATCGTTAAATTTACGGTTTATTTGCGTCTGATTAGAGAAAAAATAATAAAAACAAACTTATCTATTCACGTAAAATACCCATTGATTTCATTTGTTATTAGTACATTTTACATGAAACTTAAGAAACTGGTTAGGTACACAAATTTCAGTTTAATATTTTCATACATATATCTACAAGGCTAATGAATACCATTTATACTGTTCAATAATCAATCGGAAATCTTTCCAAAATTATTCGCTACTATGGTCGTATAAGCTATAAAAACTTCCTCTTTTGTGTTTCAGTTTAACCACATTTGAGTACAGAAATTTAAATCTTAGACCAATATATCAATCAGACATGTTAAAAATTGGAAAATAATGCCTTCTTCAACTCTCGGCTACTGATTTAGAGTTTTGCAAGTGATTTTAATCTTAGCTTGGTTATTGAGTTTGATTTTATTAAACATCCTGTTGAGCCAACATGAATTCAATTAGTTCAGAACCAAATTCTAACTACTAAAATGCATCCAATAATCAGGTAATTCGTGAAATGCTCTGTAACAGAACCTATGAATAACACTGAATGATGATCATGCTGCTACATTATGAAATAAAAAAGGTAGAAATATATGGACCATTAGATTTCAACTCGTCAGTGTAAGGTGTTTTGCTCTTCACCAGTCTTACTTGTTTTGATCTTAGTTTTTCCATTTAAGTTAATTGTATTCTTTATTTCTGAAACCATTATATTATATAAACGCTTGTTAGTTATTTCTGCTAAAAATCTGATAATAAACCTTGAAATATCGACTTCCGTAAGCCACCAGACTTTAGCAGGTTTCATTACTTCTGCTATGAAGTACTTTAGATTGATACAGACTCTGCTCATTGGCTGAAAAGTGGATCCAAAACTACACAGTTACCCGAAGAATCTCTCGAACTTGACACTTTTTTTAGTTGTTGTTATTTACATTATTATTGTATAATTTCTAGGTCATCGTAAATGGATTTGTAGAAACATTAGCTGATGCTTTACTGTACTTGTCTAGTACATTATTGGCAACAACTGTTACCTGGGAAAAATTAAACGAATTTAATAATTCTCAATCACCTTCCACTAAAAAAAATCGACGACGTTCTCTTCGTTTGTCTCAACCTAAAACTTATTCTGAAAATGAAATTAATGATGATGATGATGATGATAATGAAAACAATAATAATAATCGATTCACAGTTCAGATGAAACGCTTATTGTTCACATGTATTAAAGACTTACAAAAGCATGAATTTATCTATATTGATCAGTCTACTTGCCTAAATTTGTCTAAAAATGTTATAAATACGTCGTTTACTGATTCTCAATCATTAGAGCTTTCACTAAATGGTGCTCGTCTCCAACCAACAGCTCTGGGGAGAGCAGTACTGTCTTCTTCTTTAGGTCCAGTTCATGGATTAATTGTTTATGAAGAATTGGATCGTGCACGCCGATCAATTGCACTTGATACTGAATTACATCTTGTTTACTTAGTAAGTTTTTGACAGTTTGAAATGTATCTATTCTAACTACTATAATATCTTATTATTATTATTATTATTATTATTATTATTATTATTATTATTATTATTATTATTATAAAGTGATATTTCGTACATGTATCAGCCCTTGAAGAAAATTAGTTTTCGTTAACAAACTAAAAGACAAACCAGGTTTCTTGTTTTCACTAGTTAGTGATTTAAATGTCCGAAATTCTCAGTGAGTTTCTGTCGTTTCATTCGCTCTTCACGACGGCTGGAGGTTCTAGATTATGTCTCAAGTGGGGTCATGGATACGCACTGCTATTCAGTCCATAGAACAAATTAACTGTTCAGTGAAACCTAGCTCGGAATGGTTGGCTAAGGTTACTCCGTGATGTAAACCACCGTGTTTCTAGTTTATCTCTCTGTTTGATTTCATAATGCCAATGTGACCAGTATTGACGATTGGACGCAATAGTTTACATATCACTGATTTCTAATTTATATTTAATCTCTATACTTTTCCGTCACTCCATACAATTCCTATAAGTTTAGTATCTTTAAAGCAGTGTTTATTTGTGTTACGTTTGTCGACTGTATCAGCGTTTGGAGTTTTCAAAATTCTGCTATACATTACTTATACTCATGATCTTTTTGCATTTACTAAGTAAGAACGTGAACAAAACTCGAGTTCTTACGAAAAACGCAATTAATTAGTTAATTTTTTCTGATGATATAACTATATATGATACTCGGATATACCATTCTTGTTCTTCATCCCATGTCATGAATATAGTCCTGCCTACTAATACATAATTATGGTTTCGTCTTGTACATTATTATCTTCGTTGTTCTTTGTAGTATTTTTCCTCAATTTCTCGTTAATAGCCTATTGGATCACAAAGAATTTCTATTTCCCTCTGTTTTAGTTAACTCCTGTCTACTTAGACGTCGGTGCTGATCTAGATTGGTTATGCTATTTAGAACAATACCAAAGTTTATCTTCTTCAGAGCGTCGAGTCGCTGATCTGATTGGTATTGAAGAACGTTTTATCACTAGGTGTGCAGCTGGAGCACCTTCATCTGCTGCTAGTTGCCACGGTAACACTAATGTGGTTAATCGACGTTTAAACCTACATAGACGCTTCTACACAGCATTAGTACTGTATCGTCTAGTCAACGAAGATGGCTTGCAAATTGTTGCGAAGAAATTCGGTGTTAATCGTGGTCTTCTGCAGAGTTTGCAACAACAATCTGCTACTTATGCGGGTGGGTTTAGTCCTTAGGTTGTTACCTGTATTACTGTCACCGTCGGTTTACAATGAATACAATTTGTGAAAAAAGAATTTCTGCTTAGAAATCTTGGATTAAAGTTGCTGATTTCTGGCAATGGGGCTCCATAAATTTATATGCTGTCCATTATTATTATTATTATTATTATTATTATTATTATTATTATTATTACTTTTTATAGCTCTATTTTGATACAATATATAATTTTCAGCACAAAGTATTTCAGCAAGTTTCCTTTTATTATTTTTTCATCGATATTGGCCATAAATATTGAGTCATCGCCAATTAGCTATTAGCATTTTAGAAGTCGACATATGAATAATTTTCATTCTTTTCAATACGTATTGCCAGTCATCACGTTATCTCCGATTGTACATTTTTGTAACTTGTACAGCGAAAGATCGTAAGCTTTTCACAAACGCACCTGAATAGGCTATGCAATTAATTGACATAATGATCTGTTAAAACAAACAAGGATACAGTTAATTTGTTGAAATATCTAAATGGCAAGAACAGGTTGCCCAAATATTCATTTAGGCCGCCTTGAATTAGCATCCTACATTATTATAACAGTAGTACAGTAGTTACGATTGGAAAGACAAAATTTAGAGGTTATGCTTTAACCCTCATTTTAATAAATTTATCATTCTGATAACTGTTAAAAGTAATTCGGTTTTAATACTTTTCCGTTAGTTTGAATGTGAATAATCCTTGTTTTACATCATACAGTACAGTGGTCTCGTTAATGTTATGTAACCAATTTTTGTAAACAAATTTTTATAACATGTCATGATAACTGCACATCTTAAATCCCTTTATACCTTACTCATGTAACTTTTTATATACTTAGAAGAAAAAGGAAAAATTTAAATACTTAAAATGATTATTTTCCCTCTATTTCCCCCCAATAATTTCTTCTTAGGTATGGTTACTATATTTTGTAATCGTCTTGGCTGGAACCATATGGAACGAGTAATAGCTAATTTTCAATCACGTCTGTGCTATGGTGTCTCGGATGAACTTGTCGACTTAATACGTCTATTACCTTTGGTTAACGCCGAACGTGCTCGTGCACTATATGCAGGTGGTTACAGCTCTGTTTCTTCATTAGCTTCTGCACGGCCTCAAGAGATTTCAAGAATTATACAACGTGCAATTCCTTTTGAACGGTATGTTGTTTATTTTACATTTATATAGAGGTTTTATGATGAATGCTTTAATTATTTTGGTTTTGTATTTATTTTGGCCTCACCAAAGTTTTTAGTCACTCTTGGTTAATACAAAAACATAAGTACACATTTCTGTGAGATCCATCATATATATTACTGTGTTGCATAAAACCATATTAAATAAGTTATAGAACGATTATGTTAGCAACACCTATCCAAAGGCCTGACATTAATTAACATATTATAAACCCTAGAGTTTTAGTTAACAGTTCTGTTTTCTCACGATGAATTCTCCAACTCGTATGTTGAAGTAATAATTAATGCATTTTTTTCAAATATATATACACGTTCTCCCTTTTTTGGAAATTTCAGCAAAAATAATCATGAAGTGTGTGTTGTAAAACCATCTGGTGGTTGTACAATCCTTCTAGATGATGGCCGTGTAATTAATGAACACGAAGCTGGCCCTTTAATAGTTCAACAAGCTAAACTCTTATTGGAGATAGACTTGACTTCTGTATATGGCAAAGACTTAATTATTATACCAAAGAATCATGAGTCAGAAAATTCCATGAAACCTGTAAAGTCTATGATTGAGAATGTCAATGATTGTGATAATATGAACAAAAATGATATAGTAGACAGTCAAAATAATCAATTAATGACACCAAATCTCAGTTATAATTCATTACATGATCTGAATCTAACCAGAGGCTGTAAATATTTTATGGACAAAGATAAAAATCAGGAAATTCTTAACGTAAAAGTAGAAGAAGTTGAAGTTAAACGATTGAAATTGTCCTTAGATAATGACACAACAATCCAAACATCATCCATGTCAGCAGCAAGAACTTTGGCTCTCATTAACAACGATGATCACAAAAATCCTAATGTCGATCATGAATTTTATTCAGTAAACAAGGAAAATTATTCTAGTGACAACAATAAAACTGATTATGAAAATAGTATTAGTATTACGTCCAATTCACATATTCCTGTTTCAAAATTTGATAGTTCCGTAAATCGCCATGGTAAAACTGTAATAGATTTTGAAAATTTTACACAATCTAGCCAGCCATTTATATTAACTAGTCAACTAGCTGCTATCATAGATGATGATCAAGTCGTGTTGACTAATAAACTACCTTCATCGTCAGAGACATCTACTTCCAGATTCAATGTCAAATCAAATCTATTGCATTCACCCATTTCATGTGAATCTTCAAGCATACCATTTTCAACTACCACAACTCCGTCATCATTATCTGTTAGTAATAAGACCTGTGAATTCAATGATACACTTACATATTCAATGTTTGAAAGTTCATTTACAGTATCTAATAATACATCGATCACCACCATTATCAATACTAATGATAATATTAATGGTCCCATTTGTGATATAATGACAACTGAAACATTAACAGAACAATATGACGATTCACAAACTTTAAACAATTTAATGATGGTAAATACACTACTGATTTTTGTTAAAATAGTTTCTTCTCTTTCGGAATTTAATATTTTATAAGAAGAAATCACAAAGCGAATGTATCTCGACCCGTTATTATTATATTGTTTTTACATTTTACTAACTATTTCATCGAATTTGTTTGATTGAAGTTTCCATAGGGCCAACTGGTAGAAAAACTAATTATCAATCATCCATATGTTGAGTCAAAGTGAAACGAATATTGATATTATGATTCAACACAGATTTTCTATTGTGCTAAGTTATTGATAGAACTGTGTTGAGTGATAAGAGAAATTTGAATACTCTGATAATTTGTCGTACACTGCATGTTCTACTATATGAGTTTTGCTCTAAAACTTGAGTTTATTACGGAATGGTCAATCGGTGAATGATATATCGATATCATATTTGTTACTAAATATACTATCCACTTACATCAAGTCGTATATCGTTTTTAATGTTTTTTTCAGCTAATTTAAAAATTTGTGTTTAGATTCCTTCATGATTCTCGTTCTTCTACACATTTGGACAAATAAGTCCAGATAATAAATTTTTACGAAAGATAAATGGCAGTCAACAAATAGTACAGTTGTTGATAACGTAAAATCTAACACAAATGTATCATTTCACGTCTCCTTATTTCTCTAGGATCGTCTAAATTATTATCAGATTTTACGTCATTCTGAGGACCTCTTCGTGTCTGTAATTTAAATGACTTTTAAAAGTAATATTTGATATTAATTATTTTTTAGGGAAATTTTTAAGTGCGTCTGTTTCTCGACAGTCTGCGATAAATAAATGTAGAGCTAAATAAAAGAAACACTTGTTGAAAAACATAACGTTCTTAATTATTGTATTAAAACTAAGCTTGAATATTTATGGATTCCTACATATTTGTGATTTGCCTTCAGGTTCTTTTTTTTCAAAATAGATTGTGATGACGAAAGGAAAAGAAGTTATTGGTACTTACACATAATCTCTGTAATTAAATAGTAATCATTTTATTGGTTGTATTCATGTGGATAGCAAGATTGATAGGATCAATAAGTTTCTATTGCATACTTGTAAACAAAGCTTTTATAAAGAGTTCCTAGAACCATCAAAATTTAGGCTTCCTACCAACTACACAAGAAAGCTCGTCTAGCCTTTGCGACCTTCACTTTCAGACAGTAATCTAGATGTACATTTGGCAGCAAAAGGACGAGTATATTGTCTAGCAGTTCACTCGTATTACTGTATGGCCGTGAAACACGGTAGAAAAAGCGTAGGCTCCAGGTTTTTGATCATACGTGTTTTCGAATTGTCGTATCGTCAAACGATTGAGTGAGTAATACTAAAGTTAGAGGTGAGATCTAATGCAAAGATGGCAAATAGATTGATGATGCAGGGAATTTCCGTCGGTTAATGTTGTCGGGATATGTAGTACGTATCCCTACCTCAGTGGGCGGTGTTATTTGGTCTATAAATTAATCTAAAGATAGCTAAAAGCAGGTCAACCAAAACGTGGTATCTCCGTAAAGTCATTCACTGCTGGTCCGAGCCATGTTAGGTAAGTATAGACTGCGTTATCGGGGTCTGCGCATTATTCACGATCAGTGTTTGGGGACGACAGCCCAGATATATTCACTCTTTGTCGACCCCGTAGACCTTCGTCTATGTTATTGCGTAATACGTGTCCTTCACTTTTGTCTTTTCGAACTATTTTCTCACTGCTTGATCTTCCTCATCATCATTGCTACTCATTAATTAAATTGATTTACTATTCATCCTTTAGCTTCAAATCGTCGTGATAATGTGTTGTGGAAAATTAGAACGGGGTATGTTTGTATCAGGTACCACGTTGATTATGAATAGCCAACCGCATTTGATATATAAACCGTATTGGAGACCATTTTAATTTCTATGAAGCCATGGCTTAGCGGTTGAGTTGTTTGACTCTCAGTCACTAGTTCCCAAATTAGAACCGACTTCATCCGCTGCGCTGTGAACAACTAGGTAGTATCATAAGCCTTCAAACTCAGTAAAGTTTTACCCAAGTACCTGATGAATGCGTTAATTTTTTGAATTTAATGCAACGAACTGGCGGCAGTTTTTGAATCTATTCTGATTACAGTTTACATCACGCACTCCTAAAGTGTTACATATAATGCAGATTAATGTTACTTACATATTAGGTAAATCAAGACCACATTCTAGTCGATTCTGTTTTTTCAAATGATGTATAGGTGATTATCAATCTCCAAAATTTTATGAACAATATTTTAAGTCCCATTTTAAATACAGTTGAACTGGATTGATGAAATGCAGTTGACGTTCTTTCTAACAGGGTTACTTGACTTTTTTCAAGGTTTTTCTGCAAATAGCATATTTTAGATCACTAAATGATTATTGAACTTCAAGCTAATAGATAACATCTTTTATATTGGGCAAATATAGAATTGCCAGTTCAGTCAAAGTCGTTTGAATACTGACTACTACAATTTATACTTTTGTTCACTTTAATATGATGCGTTATAAAGTTATTGTGTCTTTACCGTGACAGTAGATAGCGCAAGTTAATTAGAACCTGTTTCTTACAATCGTGATGTTGATACAGGTGTGGTAACCAAGGCTGCACCGCGCCTTTGAAGAAAGCGTAGCTGATGGAATCAGTCCATTACTTACTAACTTACTTACGCCTGTTACTCCTCGTAAAGGAGCATAGGCTGCTCACCAGCATTCTCTATCCAACCTTGTCCTGGGCAATCCTTTCCAGTTCCTATTCATCCTTCTCATATCTGCTTCTATTTCTCGACGTAATGTGTTCTTTAGCCTTCCTCTTTTCCCTTTCCCTCCAGGATTCCAAGTTAGGGCTTGCCTCGTGATGCAGTTTGATGATTTGCGTAATGTATGTCCTATCCATTTCCATCGTCTTTTCCTAATTTCTTCTTCAGCTAGAAGCTGGTTTGTTTTTTCCACAGAAGGCTGTTGCTGATAATCAGTCCATTACTTTACTAAAATAAACACTTTTACCTCCATCCATACAGTAAATAAAGGTCTCTATTATCCATTCAGGTTTGCAAACCGTACTCAAATAACAAAGTGGTTAAATCGCCATCTTAAATAGTAAAGTTGTAACAGTGTTATATGAACGAACTTTCTCACACCCTGTTCTAGTCAGTTTTTAGACCATCTATAATATTCAACAAATTAAATGAGGTATAAAAAATGTGGTAGAACTTGGACAATAGCAAAGCATAACAAGTTCTGATGACTGAAGGTAATACTCATTTCGCACGGATTTTAAATTATGAGTTACTTTCTCATTTAATAAGGTCTCAATTTAAAATCTTAATAACTTGAAACTATCTCTTTCATTATGATGAAACATATATATTACTACTTTGGGTTGCTTAAACTTTTTTTACTTCTCAACAACAACATTTTTACAATACAACAAGTAATTAAGCAGTTCTGTATTTGTCAGAATGAGGTTTTGTGGAAATTGTAGTAATTTAATAGTTGGATTCATGAGTCAATTTAAGCTAGACCACTCTGGAAGTACTAGATGGCCGTTTCATCCTGGTATGGGACTCCTCAGTTGTGTGTATTCAAGATCCCGCTTGTGGGATTCGAACCTAGAGCCTTCGGTCTCACACGCTAATGATTAACCTCCTGGAGTTCTAGTGAAAAGTGACCAGTGGAGTTCAACCGTGAGACAGCTTCCCACTGAAGACAATGGTGAACGGTCGCCCGATATCGTGGATCGGTTGGAGTTCTGTGTTTATTTATTTCCTGAATTTTTCTTACTTCGGCGTTAATCCACCAAGGAAATAATCTGTATGTTAAATTGATTGATCACTGAGTAGTAACCAATGTGATATTTATCTAGTCCTTTATTTTTCATGGGATTCTACTGGCGAGATCGCAATGTTATCACTAGTTTGAGTGACTGAGCATCAACTACACTTTGTTGAGATGTTAATTAACATCTAAGACTGCGAAGCTGTGTGATATGAGTTCGAATCCCACAGTGTCAGTTTCTTTAGGATCCCAGTTGCGCTTTCTAGACAAGTCCCACCCAACACTAAACCCAGGTTCATGCTTTCTTGCTAACTATGTCCAACAACCTGACTTATTCCATATATATCCTTATGTCTAAATCTATTTCAGATACTTCCTGTTACTTTTAATCCTGCTCATTTTAATAGTTACTATCTACACAAATTTTAATTTAAAAAATTTGCATCTGGCAAAATATTTCTTCGTTATATTTATTTTTTATTTGTTCTGAAGGTGTATTCTGTATTGCTCATGATATTTAGGTCTCGTTCCCGATTATTTTCTTTATGGCACAATGATTATTTTTGATTTTTCCACAATATTTTATTTATTTTGGTGTTACTGAGTTTTCTCAGATGGACGGTTTAGTTTTGAAGCTCCCATTGTCGTTCGGAACAAGATCATTTGCTGTTACCTTACGTAGAATTGAGCTGCTCAGTTATTCCTCGAGCTTTAATCAGCTTGTTCGAGTAGTCTTGTTTGTGATGAAATGTCCTCGTAGGTTTCCGTATTTTTGTTTGTCCTTGTATCCAAGCTGACTTTCTTTCCCCAATGTCGTCCGAACCCGATTTGGTTGACGTTTTTTGAATGATTTACCAGATGGAATCTAAATCGATGTCTACTAAACAGTGATTAATCGGAATGTTGTCCTCCTAAAAAATCTTTGATATTCTTAGAATTTCCTCGACCCAGAATTTTGACCTTTTTATGGATGACTATGTGTCCATAATTGTTTCAATACACTGATATCAGTGACAAAGTATGTCGTTTTACTTATAGTTTGTGTATGTGTACCAAAGGTGAAGATGGCGTCCACTTTGTCTGATGCAATATTTATCGCACTTTAGATTATTTTCCAATTACCTTCCACTGTTGTGTTTTTGACCCGTAAAGAATACATTGGATCTTCCATTGATCTATGAGGGATATTGACCTCAAAGGGTTTTTAATCTTCTTGGTGATTTCTAAATTGTTTTCCACATATAGTGACACTAGCAGTTTCATGGTTTCTGATGTTGATTTTGCATTGGTGTATTGATTCAACAGATACTTTTTAACAAAGTCGTCAGGTTAGTTAATGTGAGTATTTTCTACCTTCCATTCTTTGTTTTATATTCAGGTTGTTTTCTTAAATTCGTCGAACATTTATTTCGTGTACCATGAATTAAACCAAGTTCCCTTCAACACAATGAATTTGTAATGGATATTTTATATTAAGTCACATTTCTACTGAAATAGTTATCAGTAGACAATCTGATATTCTAAATATTTGTTAAACAACAGTTCAAGAGAATTCATATAAGCTCTTTTTATTAAAAACAATTATGCATCAATAACTCCACTTAATTTCAATTTCTGGAATGTTCTACAAATGTTCCTTTTCTTCGACATTTTCTAAATACTTGATGCCCAAGTTCTTATCAGCCTATTCATACAAATCTTTTTATCATAAGTACATGTCTTGTTCTTATGGAATTTTCCGAAAATTCAAGCTATTTCTTTTAAATTTTTTCCCAAGTCTCAGATTAATTTCGATACTGACATTGGTAAAAAGCAAGAATTATCCATCTCTCATCAACAATCTCAATCAAATCTATCCAAAGCATCTATCAATCCAAATGAATCGTTTTTGAACATGGAAAGAAAAAGTATTGGAGATTTGTTCAGTGCTTCTTTTACACACGATTCATCAACTAATGAAGTACAATTGAAACAGTATGTTTCTTATTTATTTAGTTTCATTCAATTCTTAATCCTTATAACGATTGTTTCTTCAAGTCAATCAATTCGTGTACTAAGACCTCATCAACTCTTATCGCTCGACAGTTCTAAGCACTAGTATACTCTTCTGAGCAAAATAAATAATTATTGAAATTAAATTGTAATAGTCGAATATTGAAGTTATTACGTCATATTTTTATTATTGTAAGGTAACACTTATTTCCTGTAAGTAAATCACGTAGTCATTTCATCAGTCACTTATAAGCGAACTAGAATCTGGCATTCTTGTGCATCCGTTTAAACTCCTACACTACATCAACCGTGCAAAATAAAAATATTGTGACAAACACCTAGAGTAATAGAATTAGCAATATCATCAGTCGTACTAAAAAGCAGTAGGCATAGACGATATGATTCAGGAAGAAAAAATGGATTTTTGGAAGATAAAAATATAAGATAATTTTAAAACCCAAGATCTTACATCGGACAAAAAGGTTAATGTTAATTTAACATAAATTATCGCCATATTTATTTATTACAGATATACTTTTTTCAAATATAACTTGTTTCTATATGATTAATAGTTCTCATTTTCAGTCATTCATGACTCTGTTCTTCTTCAAATAATATGTATTTTATTTATGTCCTATTGATTCTTTAGGGAATCGTCAGACTATCAGCATATGTACTCAATTAAGACTGCAGAATGTAAAACAGGTCGGTTTATTTTAGATCAGTTGCTTATTGTATTTCCATATAATAAAACATTTATTTTCTGATTCACATAATTTCATTATTTGGAGTAGCTCTATTTATTCAACTCCGAGCTATAATCCTTGTTTGAGAGGTAGTAATATAAAGTGGGATGCTTAAATGAAAGTTGCGGCTCTAACTTGTACTTTAATGCTTAATTGGTAAGTTCGTACTGAATAGAAATAGTTAGTTGATCGATTAGCAGTGGACTTTAAACTAGCACAAATTTCTTTCAATCCTGTTTATAACAATTCATCTTAGCAGAGCAAAAAGCAACTAATAAAGGTAATATCAATGGATCAAAAATAATGCAGTTACTTATATTGAAGAAGTGATTAAGTATAATATAACTCACAAGGAACACCTGAAATAACAAAAAAGATGTAAAATCAACGTTTGGAACTTGAAGACAAGTAAAAATGAATACTGAATATATCTACAACAGGTTCTTAACTATTCTACTCTTGGTCGCTATCTATGATGAAGTACTTGTCGCACAAACCTTAACCAGAAAGCATGCAGCTCACGATATATCTCAGATCGAATGTTAGTAACACTGTAGTCAAATGACCTGGTTCGATTTAGCGCCTCTTAACCTCATAAAAAGGTCGTGTATGACCGACCTCAAGCAGTTGTCCCTTGAGAACTGCGGTCAAGTTCTCGGGTTCCTAAAACTATGTGTGGCATGGCTCAGAATCGATCACGATGGCGTAGGTGTATACATTCTCTGTCTTCCCTTAAACGGCGAGATTAAATTACTTTATACCTTTATTTCTACGAACTAATCCTTTCTACCTGTATCATATCCTTATATGAAGTCTATATATTACTACTATAGAAGTTACTACTTCTATGAATTTGGTGTTCATCTCGTTGTGTTGATGAGACAGACAGAACATTTCTGCTATTGTAAATGAGTAACCATCGACTTTGTGCCATGTATGGCAAAATTTTGGGAATAGTAGTATTATATTTGTATCCCTGAAAAATTTCTAACACCATGATATTTTCAGCAACAGTTCTCTATGAGTATTGATTGGTGTGATCTGTTGTATAACTGTTTAGTTCTACGACAAACTTAGTATCATTTTTTTTAATTATTGACTGAGATTTGAATATTAATTTCCCTATGAAAAGTGACCTCATCTTCATTTACTCTAAACTCCTTTTTTGTGCGTTGATCTACGTGTTTGAAATCTGTTAATCATACTTTCTTTCTTTATTCAATAATTAATAGACTCTGATGATTATTATTTTCTCTTTAGATACGGATCCACCTTCGGCTGATGATAATCTTATTGCGGATTCACTCGAAAATGGTGTTGATAATGATAATGACAGAGATGATATATTCTCTGTTATTAATGTAACACAAAATTACACATTATGGAAAACATTTCTTACTGAATTGAATGATCATATTGAAGGATTGAAAAGTTCTAATCAATCTCACTTAAATTATATAGCAATTCAACCTGGTTGGCTTTTAAACACAAACTCTGATAGTAATAATGATAATGATTTTAGATCGTCTAGTGAATCTTTATGTTGGAAATCTGGTCCTGCTGGGCAGCCAACTGTTGGTGGTGGGAAAAATATCTGCACAAATTATGATTTGTACTTAAGTGGATTAGCGATTTCTTCGGTACTTTTGATGAAAAATGCTGTATTTTGGATCCATTTTCTTACAGAAAGTGGTTAGTTTATTTGTTTTAGTGTTCCACAACTACTTTTATTACAGTCTTGTTATTATCAAGAATTAAGTAGGATATGTGCATCATGGTGTGATAAATCTTTTTTACATGGTTTTCTTCTGAAATTTTCATTATGCTAGGCGGTTTGTGAAGGTTTTTCTATTTAAATTTAGTTTCTTTACTATTGTGGACTGACATTCGCTGTAAAATCACTGAAACCTAGTAAGTACTGTCACATTGTTTTGTCCTAGTTTGAAGTTCTGTTGCAGTGCTCACCTGTAATCTCACATTACATCAAACCTCAGACCTTTAATCTTTACAGTAAGTCAGAACAAGATAGTCCACATTATCTGACTTTGACCAGTTTAAGATACTCTTATGTAGTCGTTATTCATCTTGTGTTTATGTATATGTGGGATCGTTGATTTACAATACCAAGCATTCATTATCAAAGAAGAAATACCCAGTGATCCTTCATTTTCAATGACTTGTTTGATTGTGTCAATCTGTGACGATATGCACATCTCAAATATTGTTTAATTGTTAACTATAGTGTGCTAATTATTTCTTCAATAACTGTATAGTGATATTTTAAAAATATATAGCTTAAATGTTATGAAGAAGCATGTTCCACCGTAGCTATTCCTCTGCTAGTTTAGTTATGCACTGCATTAATAGATTCTCTAAGATTACATGCATAACGCTTGTATACCGTCGAGTTGAATATTATAAAACAATTGTTAAAATACATCGAGATCTACGTTTCAATACTCTTTATATATTTTATGCGTAGTTGAAAGCGTTATATGTATTGAACCACTGTATTTTTTGTAGATCCTCACATATTTCTGATTGTTTCTGCATAGCTTACTGAATTTCATCTCTTTATTATCAACACCACAATTCTAATTAATGTAAGCACTAATTTAGGGAATTTTACGTATTTGTCTAAAAGATATAAATCACTTATGCTTATGAAATTAGGGCATAGAGACTTAAAACACACCCACCCTTCATAGAATAAAATGTTCCCGACAATTTGTTTCACGAATTTGTCTTCGCAATTTGAAACATGGTTTAAGTTATTTTGGTTTCACTAATATTATATGAAAATAAATTTTTCTTATCACTACGATAGGCCTTTTAATGTATTTAGATAGACCTACAAAGCTGTTTTTATGTTCACTACCGGCACTATCTATAAGCGTGAAATCCAATCGATTTCTCGAAAATTTCCTAACACTGTAATTGTCCAGTGTATAGATTATTATTTATATTAATAGTCGAAATTCCACTTTAAAAATACCTTATGTTACGCTCTTTATAATATTGAATAGTTTTAGAAGTCTTTGTTATATTTTATCGAATTTACTCTCAAAATTGAATTATGACCGTAACTAACCTAGTTTAATACTAAAACCAGTTCAAAATAACTGATAGATTTTTGTTCGATTTAACTGTATGTAAAAAAACCATTGATTTATGGAGTTTTTAGATTATCATTTTCCATGGTTAGTAAATTGTATTATTCATCAATCTTGAATTTGTACCAATATATCATGTTATTGGAAAAGTATTCATTTCTGTATTTATTCTGTTTTATTCTATTAACTATTTCGTTTTTACTTTGTCGTTTAAACAATCAAACAAATGCGAACAACTTTTTCAAGATGTAAACAGAGTTCCATTACAGGAATGTTTAATTGATATATATAATCTATTTATTCGGATACATCAATTCAATATTGGACTCATCATATGGGATGTTAAATGGTGGTATCGAATTGCCTACGATATACTTAAAATACCGAATCAAATGAAATTTCATATTTATAATCCGAATTTAACGAATTGGCTAACGAATCCCGATCAGATCAAAGCTCTCTATTAAGTGAGGCCCAAAAATTAAATCCACATGTTGTTGATAGTATACTAACTAAAGTCGCATCATCTGAATATTTAGGTAAGTATATCAGTTATAAGGCTATTTTGCTATTATTTCTTAGTATCATTTTACCCAACTCTCCTTAAAATACTTGTGACTTAATGGCTACATAAAGGCTACCAGTAAGATTATATATATATATATATATATATATATATATATATATATCAAAAGTGATTAAACATTTCCAGTCGTTAACATAGACAACGGGAAGACTCAATCTCTACAAATGAATGATTCCTTTCCAGTTTCGAAATTCCTTTAACTTGTTCATTAGCTTAGAAACTAGAATATCATTTCAGTATATGAGAACTAACTTTATGTTCTGCACAGTACTATATTCAAAAGATGCTTAAATCGAAATATCCTGCGGTACTTTCGAACTTCCAATCTGATGATTTGAGTTTCACTGTACTTAAACAGTTATCTCTACTCAAATATAATATTAACCGAATTCGTTTATTTATTTACTCCGAAGAAGTGGCTTACATTAAGTCACGAAACGTCAGAAATACAACTTTTCCACTCATTAGGAAATATCAGAAAATACCTTTATTATTAAATTACTTTGTAGTTGATTTTGAAACATATCTTCAGTGTATATATATGTGAACCTTTTATCACATTGCTGCTAAAATATTGTTTTAATATTTGTGTAAATTGCAATTATGATGGACGATAATATTCAATAACATTGTAGATAATCCCTAAATCGAATAGACCTACTATACTGTAATGGTTTTGTTCTACTGATGAACGAATATTATGAAGTCAACTACCCATAACATTGATTTTTGAAATTTTTCCTAAATTCACAAGCACGTAGTTTAATATACTCTGAAACATGTAGAATCATTGTCTTATAAACATTAGTAATTATCGATATTCTTACTTTATTGTGCCTTTCTAACAAGTTTTCAGAACTTTACCGTCTTCATAAAACTAACTGCTAATGTTTTATCAAATTTTAAATAATGTAATGATGTAGTGTTACCATTTAATGTAGACAGTATGATTAACTGATTTACGCATCATTGACCCAAAGTGTATTAGTTTTTTTATTTCCTATGTATATATTACAGTGATTTATCTGTGTTTGAACTATTGAATAAATTTATTTACAAAAATTGATTTGATAATTAAGACATAAAGATCAGTAATTTATTTGGATTTTTTCAATATAATAGACACACTTGCTGTTTGGAAATCTAATCAAATGAGTAAATATAATCTTAAAAATAAACCGAAATCGATATTAAGATTTCAGCATGATCTTGTGGAGATTGTTAAATTGTATTTCAATCACATATCGACCTTATTTAAATAACTATTAAAAACCAGGAATCGCCGAATGGACGTTTCGTCCGGTTCAGTGCTCTAGAGGTTGAACGCTTGCGTCCATGGACGTTGTCCCTGAGTTCGATTCCTGACTATGAATTCGTTGACGTGCACTTTTAAAGAGTCCCATGCTAGGACGAAACGGCCGTTCAATGCTTTCGGCTTTTCAATGTCCATCTCAATAAAATCCAACGATAGTAAGATTATCTAATCGTATTTCAGAAATTAAATTTCTGTGTTCTGTACCCTGATAATTTCTGACTTAAACCAGTTATTTTATTGGTGATTAGTGAGTGTTTTGCAAAATGTTCTACTAGAAGCACTTATCGTCTTATTTTCATCATAAGCAATCAGAACTAGTGTGTATGATTATTGTACGTAGAAAAACAATCGTCAAATTAGTAAAATTCTACGCATAATAGTTAAAATCATTAAAAAATTGATGATTCATTAGGCAAATCGACTCAGAAAGCTCGGTTGATTTTTACTAACTTGCGTCACCTGTGTCGTAGGCGAGATGTCCATATGAAACAGAGGACTCTTGTACTGTGAAGCAGTTCATTCTGTTCTACTATATTGCCTTGAAACATGCTCCCTAAAAACAGAGAATATTCTTAAGTTATTAAAATTCAATCTTAGATCCCTTCAAATCATTGCTTGTGTTTGTTGTAATCTCAGAGTAAATAACAATTAAGTTAGATACTGGGTCATACTAAATATGGCAATTCAGTTGAAATATTCAGTATTTATCCACCGAAGTGATTGGGACATACGCTCTACCATCACCTACTTTGACGCAAAAGGTTAGCCGATTTAAGAGTAGGTTAAAAGAAACCTAGAGCTTTCCAAGTCAAGATATAAAATCAGTTGGTGAATTAATTGAATATTGGACCAGGCATGTTTGTAAGAACAAACCATCTAGATGGAGTCCGCGCGGTTATCGTATCCAGTGGTTTGAGAGATTTTGGAGACGTTTTCTACTACCACTGATGTTGTTGCTACTTCTATTGATTTTGGATTTGTCTTTACAGTTGATGTAGTGTGGCAACGGAACTCAGTGCACATATACGTCAGTTTTTATAGTGCTTATGATTGACTGATTCAAATTAACACTCTAATGATATACATTGAATTCAAATAACTTGTGAACAATTTATCATTTGAATAACGCAACTTTATTGTATAAAACTTTATCTGTTTAAAATTAATTTTTCGGCTGAGAATGTTATTCAACTCCAATTGGTCCGATTTCATCATTCACGAGATGTTTCGACTGTACTTTATTGGATTCCATATCTATGCTAAACTTTTTTCCACGTTTGTTCTTAGTTTGGATGTTCTATTTTCCGGTTACAGTTGTGGAATATGTTGACGTTTACATTTGTGATTAAGTCATGTTTTGTTTACTGCGTTTTTTGTATATTTTAGTCAATTTAAAATTTTGCCCAAATGGGAATAAATATGTCTTCATTATTATTGAATAAAATAAATCATTGTAAATAGCTAATCAACAAGTAATTTTTTCATACAGTAGTTATGTAAACTGGGATATATCAATCATCATCATCCTATTTTTGAAAATAAATGTTTATTTTTCATGTAATATACCGTATATTTTCATGTAGTGACTTTTAAAATTACCTTCATACCTTAGTTTTTGTTCGAAACTGTCTGTTTTCGAATATTATGCTTAACATCACGTATTTATCTTTGGTAAATAACCGTTGAGAACCAAGAAGATTCGGATAGCTGTTTCTTCTCAGCAATACGTATCCACGACCTCGCCGAGGATCAATCCCAGGATCTTCAGATCCCGCGACAACTGCTTAACCTTTGAACCCCTGAGGTATTATCCACTGGTCTGCATTTCTAACTTATGTTAACTCGCAATATATTGCTCAATTATTTTCCAATATCATCGGTGGGTAACTGCTTCAATGCTTCCAGGCTGTCAACGGTTATCGGAGTAAGGTCATTCCGTGATATTAACTATAAAACTCAACAATCTTCGCAAATCCCTTATTATGGAATACACATGAATAAATAGAAGTCATATGAAATTCTATTTTTTCGTGAGGTGGGGTAATATTGATATTAGTGCCAGTTATCGACTAACATCTGGTGAAAATTAATATATTTGTAATATCCGAATGAGTAGAAACATTAAATTTTCTGACGGTTCGTGACTCAGTGTTATCCACTTGGATTAATTTTAATTTGCTTAAACTGAATCACGAAATGTCAGAAAATTTAATGTTTCTACTCATTCGCATATTACAAATATATTAAACAACACTCGAAACCGATTGGTTAATTGATTAGAGAGTTGCAAATGATATCGATTAAAGTGTGGTTTGTGTTTTCTTGACAGATCAATCTATTAAACTAAATTTCTTTGAAACAGAACAATTTTCCATGGAAATGTCATGAAAGACAATTTAATAATGAAGTATTCTAAAATAGAGATTTTCTTTTAACTTAAAGATGAGAATAGAGTGATAAAAAGTTTAGTTTTATGTAAAATGAGAACAAATGAAAGTGTTTTTTTTCAACAACTATTTTACATAGACAAAATGTCGTAATTATAAAAAACAAACATCGTATTTACAAATTATTTATATAATCAAGTTTATTTAACTGACTTCTCTAACAGCTGGATACAACATGGATATATATAAGTAATTAGTGTTGAAATATAAATAATTATCTTATATTATAAATATGAAAGGCTAAAGTTACCAACTTATGCTATGAAAGTGAAATGTAATGGTGAAAATAGTACAATTTCTTACAATAATATGAAGCCGTGAATATGTCCTGAATGTATCGGAAACATATGATCGTTTTTTAATTGAAAAATGAAAAAAAATCATGTTTATTCATACTGAGTTGAACTATTTACTATCTGATGCTTGGCTTTCATTATTAGAATATAAAGTATATTGGTTGTTTTAGCCTTACTAAAAAATGCATAGTAATTAAGTTTAACACAAAAATGTATACGGCCTTTGTTGTATTCGCAGATGTTATGCACGCTACGTATGTCTACAAATAGTTGCAACCAATTTATTTATTCCCTTTAGTCCCCCCAAAAAAATTTGTGACAAATCATTATTTGTACTCATATTTCATTCCCACTTTTTACCTAAAAATATTATCTAACCCGTCATTAACATTTGTAGCATAACAAAAAACGATTGGTTCATCTAAACTATTAGACTGAGTTAAAACTTTGATTCATGTAAAAACCAACTTGAAATATTTGTGAAACGATGTGTAAACGTACTTCACGACACACCGTGTTTGTTCATATAAGGTTTTCTCTTGGTTATGCAAACATTCTTGTCTTATTCACCCAAAAATTCTGATACATTATTATCATTAAATTACTGTATCTTTTACTAAATAAATTTAAATTTATGGAATTATTGACAGAAGTGCATAAACCAGTTGTAAGGTATCGATTCTCTCTTAATTTGTATAACCTGTTCAATGAATTTCAGAGCCTCCAATCCAGTTTTCAGATTGGTCAAAAATACCCAGGTTAGAATCATCTGGCAAATGTCCTCCACCAAGAAGTTACCTAAGTGAACAAAGTTTATTATCTAATCTACCATATCATGTTTATATAACGTCAGCTCAGTGTTTCCTACTGTCTTTATGGACAACTCATTCAAATAATTGTCTGTCAACAGTTCAAAATTCATTACTTAACGTAATTGAACTACCTGTCAATCTTTACTAGCTCGAATGGAGTCGAATGGTTTTCGTAAGTATTTTTCATCATATTTTATACTTCAATACTATGTATATATATATATATATATATATATATATATATATATATATATACCAGGAATACTGGTTTGTAGTAGTATGTTCGTCACAGCTGTTTTTTTACCGTTATCGGATTCTAATGTTAGTGACTGAATTTTTTTGACTACTTGTTCACTAAGTAATTTTTCTCGATGCTAATACCATTGAGCATATTCCGTAAATGCTGTTTTTCATTAAAATAACTATATAGAAAGTCTCTGCAAATGTAGAAGTGTTTAATATACTCATTTTCCGTGTACTTGATGTCATATTTTAAATGAATCTCGTACTTTCTACCTTCCTGAAAGGTAAATTAGTTGATGTTATATGCATTTCTAACAAATGTAGTCGTTATCTTCTCAAATTCAATTGCTGAAGTCTTTTCAATACCTTATATATGTATATAACTTTCAGTGTAATCAGTTACTGTACTTTCGGATTCTTGACACCATTCAAATGATAATTCGGACTTCAATTTGCACCCGCAAAAATTATATTTACAATTTTTTCGTGACATTCATTCATATTTTACATTACACCACTTGTCTATTCCTTTTTTTCCATTCGGTATATTCTTTTACTTTCCAACTCATACATCAGGTCGCTGACTTTGGAAATCCTGTCCTATCTATACGTTCTCAAGTCACTGATTGATCGTAAGTCCAATCAAGCCACTCATTACGGATAACCTTCGGAGTACTTATCTAATCTCTGACCATACTCTTGTTTGCGATAATTTTACCTTACGTTTCAGCAGCCAATAAATACATCCCCCTGAACAGATCAATATCAACAAATTGGTTGCAGCTTCTGTTGCAACTAAAATATCAAACGGAGCTATGTTCAAGACTAGCTAACATCCCACCGAAAAGTATAGATGAGCACCGGCTGCAATTGCATGACACCACGAAAATGGCGAGTAAATTAGCTTACAACTTCGAGAAACGTCCCACTTACAATAACTGGGTTTCTAAAGGCTCCTTACAGCTTACTGAAGCACGTCGATCTACTTCGGGTGACCGCAAATTTGACTATAAACGATCACTAACACACACCGACGTCTTTGTCGATGAACAAGGTCTCTCGAGAAGCAGTTCAACTGGTTTGCTGCCCTGGGGACATCGACCAAACTGTCCTGCAATCCATGGCGCATAATGAACTGATCTACCTAACGAGACGGAAGTCTGCAATAAACTCGAACTCCTAAAGTGCCACAAATAACAAGTCTCCGACCCTCTCTAAATATTATGGCAACTTTCTGGTTATGGAGCCAGTTGAGTTTTTTACAGAGGTCTGGTAATTAGAAAATGTTCTAACATCGTGGAGTGAGTCGATAATTGTCCCTATCTTAAAAAGTGTTCACGTCGTATCTGTAACAACTATGGGCGATAAGTTTACTTCCGATCGTGTCTAAACAATTGGCTCCCGTTATAATTCGTAGGTTGCTCAAAACCCGAGAAAGATTGACTCGCGAGGAGCAGGCTGGGCTTCGTTCCGGTCGAGGATGTATTGATCATATCTTCACCCTCCGCCAAATGTTAGAACACCGCCATACTTATCAAAGGCCAACAATCGTAGTGTTTCTTGACATCAGGGCTACCTTCGATTCGTTGGACAGGACTGTCCTCTGGGATTGTCTATTGAAAAAGGGTGTGCCTGAGAAGTTTATTAACATTCTAAAGGCCCTATATACAAACACCTCAGGCAGAGTGAGGGCATACAACCACCTCTCTATATTGTTCCATTCGAGCAGTGGGGTTAGACAGGGTTGCCCAATTTCACCATTCCTCTTCAACTTTGCCATCGATGACATTCTGGAAACAGCTCTGATGGATGTAAGTGATGGTGGTGTGGATCTGTTGCCTGGAGAAAGACTCCTCGACCTTGAGTATGCTTATGATATCGTCTTACTGTGCGATAATGCCCAAGGCATGCAATCCGCACTTAATCAGTGTCCGTAGATATGGTATGTGCTTTGCACATTCGAAGTGCAAAGTACTTCTACAAGACTGGCAGGATTCTGATGCTGTACTCACCCTGGATGGTGAGTAGATAGAAGTAGTCTAGAAGTTCATGTATCTAGGTGGCTGCATAAGTGCTGGTGGCGGCGTGCGTGATGAGATCAATGCACGTATAGTGAAAGCCAAAGCGGCTTATGCCAATCTGGGCCATGTTTGGCGCCTTCGTGATGTTAGTCTGGTTGTACAATGTCAAATCTGTAATGCGTCGATGGGTGCCGCTTTTGTTTCATGCTTGTGGAACCTGGCTTCAAGTTGAGGATGTTAAGCGACTCTGTTTTTTGTCATTTTATTATACGAGTGATTGCTGACATATAAGGGCAACACCTTATAAGTAATGCAGAAGTTTGGCAAAGTGTGTCAGTGCCTAGCGACTACACTTCCATTGGTGTCTCTATCTTGAAACATTGACTTAGGTGGCTTGGACATGTCTTACGAATGTTATCCCAGCGAATTCAACGTCGTGCATTATTTGCCGATTCTGAAAATATTTAGAAAAGCAGAGAACTGGTCAGTGTATAACATGATATCGTGGTATATGTTATGCCCCGATAAGAATAATGAGTGGTTATTTTTGGGATCCATTTGTAAACCAATACTATACGTATATTTTACCGTATAATTGTTAATTAACTAAGCTATTCTTATCGATTATATGTTAAATATTTCTATGGCAGTTGACTGACTAAATCATCGATTGAATGTTTAAAAATACTTTCACGGTAATATCGATTATATACATATAATTGATATATATACGTTTGAATTGTGTTTGTGGATCGCTCTGTGCTCGCTCGTTTCTGGCTGTTTGTAGAATATACTTTCCCATTTCATGCTTGGACTTCTCCCTCTAGTTAGCGGGCTAGGACGCATCAAATAGCTAGTTTACTGGTCTTTAGTCACTGAGTCTTTGTTCTCGTTTGCAGATTAAGTGAACTCGTGATAGCATCATCCCTAGCAGTATGAAAGAAAGCTGTACATAACTGATTGTTATCCTTGAGATATTCCAACACAGTAAACCGAAATGTTATGAGATATGGTTCAGGATCAAGCGAGTAGCGATCTTGCTGAGGCTTTCCTTTGCTTTCTTCCTAGAAATAGGAGCAACCTTAATCGAAAGAATCTTTTCTGACTGCGTTTTGTCTTAGATAAACTTCTCCCATTATTCATTATATGTGGAAATTATATTTGAAATAATCTCAGTGATCGAAATTTTGATAATTCCAACGTTTCGTCCAGCTAACTTGTCTGGACTTCTTCAGGGTAATAATCGGAATCCTGAATAATCAAAATTTTGATTATTACCCTGCAGACGTTCAGACAAGTTAGCTGGACGAAACGTTGGAATTATCAAATTTCAATCACTGAGATTATTTCAAATATAATTTCCACATATAATGACTTCTCTATACTCGGCGCCTAATGTCTGTCAAACTATTCGTTCTAATCTTGACGAATATTCGTATAAATTCTCCTCCCATTATTCATTTTTCTTATAACACTCATCTCCCTTTATCTGTTCATAATCTCACTTTTATTGTGCGGTGCAGTTACAATTTGGTGTTCTTTTGTACTAATGTTTGGTTTTCAATAATAATAATTTAAGTCATTCATCTCATCGTCTTTTAACTATGAGTTTTCAGCCAAAATATGTGGAAGACATACTTGACAATGTCAAATATCAAGTTTCTACTTATTCACTAACCTTATAGTCTAAGGATTATATAGTTTTCTGAGCATTTGATGAGTACATCAGATAAAAATTTGTATTTGTATGAAAAAGTTGTAATCATGTACTTCTCAGCAATCCAATCTTTTCGATGTTATATATATAAATTATAACTGAATAATAATGTCGAGACCAACCAAAAATTATGAATCATTACTAGTACATTCATACCTCTTGAACAAGTTATCGAGCCATTTCAACTCAATAGCTTAGTGGACAATGCGTTGGCATTCAAAGCAGCTGGGACTTGGTTGGATTCTTAGTGTATAAACCTCAATACTGGTATCCAGGTATATTCTGCTTGTAAGTTCTAATTAGGTCTAAACGCGTCGCATGGATTAAACTGCTAGCCACAAACAAAATGTGACAAACTATATATTTTGTTAATGTATCATAGTTTTATGATGAATATTGAAAATTTTGTGACGGTAATAAAATACACCAGAATTTTGCATAAACTTTGTTGTTTTTTAATGTAAACTTTAAATTATCATCTACATTACATTATTATCCTGTTCTCTTAGCTAATTTTGTTTTTTTCTTTACTTTCATTTACCAGTTCTTAACTTGAATGATTTAAATAAATGTCATGATTCATTATTGAAAGCATGCAAACAATTGGAAAGTGTTGCCTATCGTTTAGCTGGTCAGCCATTTACTATGGATTCACCGAAAGAGATATCCAAGGTTTGATAAATACATTTTCTCTAGTATCAACACTTTTAGACTGATATTTTTTAAAAATTGAACTTAAATTTTTTTTAAATCCAAGATCATAAATGGTATTAGTCGTTGCTTTATTGATAATGTTATAAGCAAACTGTGCCGATCAAAAACCTTGTGTACTATGTAGTCTTCTTTTATTATGTGAAATAAATAACTATCGCAACATTTTTAGATATCAATCCCAAAGTTTGGCTTGATAGTTTCAAATAAGTTAAGCATTGGTTATATAGTCAATAATAAATATATTTTTGTTATATTCGATGAGCAGAAAAATTGTATTTCTGACGTTTCGCGAATTAATTTAAACCACTTCTTCAGAGTAAATAATCGGAATAAGTTAACACAAGTTTAAATAATACAAAGGACAAAAAGCATTAGCTCTCCGGAAGCTTCAGTTTGATGCCTATATCTATTTTCAGTTTTGTATTCTCTCAAATAATCAGTTCAATTAGAGAGTTTTCACTGCTTCTCTTGATAACAATCAGTAAGAACTTTCTATAGTATCACTTCTCACTAACTAATGATGATCACACACGAATTTGTAGAATGTTATACTTTAAGTATTCTCATCCTTAATAGTACTTATTTTGATAATAATATTTCTTATTTGAAAGGTTCTTTTCAAATGGCTTCACTTACCTCAAATAACTGATCCCAATGATTTAATAATGAATAGAAAACGTAATCAATCCTATTTATTGAATGGGCGTAATCGTTCAAGTCATTTACCCAAAGCTACTAATACACTTCTCTCTAAACTAACAAATCTTCATCCATTACCAGCTGTTATTATGGAATGGCGTCATATCAACGGTATTTTAGAAAAAATATTTAATTCATTAGTATCTACATGTCGTCTTATCCATACATCTAGTATAGAGGATCAGGTAAGAATAATAACTTTGCAAATAAATTCTTTCCTAAACTTTTAATGTTCAACGAATTTTCTGATCTCCGTTTTAATGTTTTGTAAATAACGGTTGTTTTTAATGCAACTTGTCTTAGTAGGGAAGAAGAACGTTCCATTGACTACCTTTTTCGAAAAAAAACTAATATGCATTCTCTGACCTAAGTTAAATGTTCAGTCTATCAACACGTGGTACATTACATTTAGTAAAGCATGGGATTGTTTCAGAGTAGCAGTAATATTCAGTAGGTGTGTGCAAAATTCAGTGGTATTTTAGTGTTATTCTGTTTTCGCAGCATGGAAAATGTATTTTCAAGTCTACAATCTTCTCATTTTCATCACTTGTTACTTGTAATTGCTGAATGTATACGGAACTGCAGATTATTAAATGTTTTATTGATCTAGTTTTTCAATTCACATTTAGATGAACAAACTTTGTCCACCAGCACTTTTTCGAGGCTTCACCTTCATCTTCTCATTACTGTAAAACAAATTCTGATATGTTTAAGGTATTGAGGATATTCCAAGAAAACAATCTGTTTTCTCGCACCTTCTACTGTACAGTTACATTTTCTGACTCAGCAACTTGAGACATTACCAGGCATGACTGATACAATTGTTTGTTAGTTTCCTATCAAATTTGTCTTAATAGTAAAATAGACCTTTTCAACTGAAAAATGTCTACCTGGGTTGATTGAACATATTTTTCTAATTTATAGCATATAAAAATTCTGTAACAGTGGAGACACTACTAAAGTCCTACTTCGTTATTTGGTTTACTCTATAAATGTATTTTACCAAACACTTTGGGTAATATATAATTTTCAAAATAACTGCAAAATCCATGTTGTATTTGTGTCAGTGACCCAGTTTATAAAACTATAATATTAGTTTTTTTCAAATACTATGGTACACTAAATTAGTTACTACATATTAAACATCCTATTAATTGTACTTCTTTTAATGAAACGTTTGAAACGTACGAGGATTTATTGGCAAACAGAAGCATAATTAGTATAAATCTATGTCTACTTTTAAAAATAGTATTTATATTCAGCATACTTCGCAATCGTTTTCGTCAATTGAGTGAATAAACATTATATTTCACTAAATGAATTGTACTAATTTGTAAATGATCACAAAAATCAAGTTGCATCACTATGATGTCTTTCTTATTATTTCAAATTAGTAATATATGTTGTAAAAATTCATAATATTGATAAATTTATGAATAGAACCTTGACCAGTGTTAACAGTGCCCAGAATTGTCTGTAGAAAGTTTAGTATTATTATTTTATAAAAAGGTGATGATTTTCTCTTGTTTCTACTTGATTACTTAAATGATAATAGGCATTCTCTAGCTTCCATCTGATCGGGGGTGTTTGTTTTGCAAAATCTTGTGTACAACTGACTTTACTGTTCAATATTAATAATAATTCTTAATTTATTCCTGTATTGACAGATAGATTGCCGCACCTATTATAACCTGTACATATTTCACATTGATTAATTCAGTCAATTATAAAAAATTAAGACTACGTTTATGCATATCGACTCAAATCGTCAGACGATGCTAGCATAGCAACATGAAACTGTCAAAGCAAAAACCGGAGTAGTAGACGTACTAGCAGTAGTAATAGTAGTACTAGAAGATATTAGGCATAATAGTTTCAAAAGAATGAATGAATTTGATGAGTGAAAAATTAAATAAACATTGAATTTACCTACCCCATTACCATCAGTTGTAAACCATATCATCCAATTTCTTCAATCATTGATTATAATAATCGCAAACACTCCAATCATGCAGTCTCCACTTTAAAATAAATTGATACATTCAACATTTTAATAGAGATGAACAATTGTCTAGTAAACAGTTGTTTTGTGACTTATTATTTCCCTAAAGAAGAACAAGTCATACTGCTTAAAGTACCCTTTACTATTATTATTTGCCTTTCTCATGTTCGTTCAGTGCATTTTCATGATGTCTTGTTTTTTCTGCTTACTTTTCTTTACCTCTCTAATTTTTTTCCCAATAATATACAGCCATTACGTATATCACCTACATATGATGTTTACACAGCCACTGGTCGAATTATATCGATTATGCCTAATTTACAATCTGTTCCAAAAGATATTATTATTGATTGGTCTAAATTACATTATAAATCTACAACAGTAGACAATAACAATCTTAATAATAATTCAGAAAAATGGACTTCACCATTTGATCAAATATTAAGTGAACTGCCTAAATCGATTGAAGTAAGTTTTTTCTTGTTTGAACAAAAGAAAATTGATTTTATAAACGTCATGCGCTATGAAGTCAGTCAGTCACAACATCGAACCTGGTACGTACCCCATTAACTCAGAGGGATGAAATTGTTAGGCCAAAGCCCAGTATACTAGAGTTAGTAATGGTATCAGTGGTAATAAAAAAATCTAGGCATCGAAGATACAAATCGAGAAAAAAAATATGATTTAATTAATTAAAAACAAAAAAGAAGTTATGCGAAATTCGAAATCTCATAATTTTGGAAGAGGCAAAGAATGAATGCATCTGTGTTATTGCAAATGATTTTGAGCCATATCATTCATACGTTGCAATCATTGGTTACGATAATCACACTGACCCCAACCAAGTTAGTCTACACATATTATTAGCATGGTTAAGTTCACTTGTTAGTGACTCCATAAGTTGATCCCATATTTTAATTTACCCGCCTCAAGCTTCCCTCCAGCCAACTCCTACACCAGAAATCATTGCCCTTCAGGGTAGGCGGTGGTTGAGCATACGTAACACATGTCCAAGCCATCTCAGTTTATGAAGATTTACTACCTCATTATTCGGTATATCATCTATACCTAGTACTCTATTTATAACCCAGGCATTGTTTACTTTGTGGTTCCAAAATACACGAGCCATACCTCCTAGAAACCAATTATCGAATAACAATAACCTACGAATATCCTATTCTTAATGATCATGTTTCACACCCATAAGATAGAACAGAGCTAAATGTTACACGTTAAACTCGTCCTTTGTTTGGCAGATGGATATCTCGCCTTCGTTACAAGTGATACAAGTTGGCAAATGCTAGTTGAGTCTTCTAAATCCATGCCGAGATTTCTTCAAACACCAAACTATTAGGACTGATGAGACTCCTAAGATAAATGAAGCAGTCGATGCGCCCAGCTACCTCTCTCCCTACTATTAATTCAGGAGATGTCGCAAGCAAATGCGGAAGCAACGTTTTGCATTTGAAGGAAAACGATTACATCCCAAACATGGTTGCATTGTTGTTTAAGGTGATCTAAAAACTGCATTTTGTCGGCATCTTTATGAAACAAACTATATCGCTTATGTATTCTAAGTCAATAAGTGATTCTCCTGGTAGAAGGTCAATCCCTGAAAAAAAAAACGAGCCTAGTGTTATCTCTAAAAGCGTGTCTATGACAAAGTTAAATAAAAATAGAGAAAGCAGACAACCTTTACGAACACCAGTAGCCAATTCCAATGACTGTCCTGCATAAGCTCAGACTTGACCAGTAGTGTTTGAGTAGAGAGCTTGTACAAGAATAATGAAACATGATGAGATGAAATTGATAAGATGAATAGTAAGGGACCCTAAATAATTAGGTATCAATAGCAATGAGAAAAACTGAACATTGAGAATATAGTTTCAAAGGACGGAATAAAAAATATGTTTGACGAAATACTGAAACAAGATCTAGTTGAAGATGGAGAGTTAATGCACGTTCCCTACTGTGAGCAATTCTGAGTCATTCCACCCAACATCCCTAAAAACTTACTTCAGCTAGTTCAATACCAACATAACTGAGACTAAACTTACTGGCATTAACGATTGATAATCGTACTCTAGTTTTCTTTTACATTTTCCATAAAAGTAGGATGAATCTTGTTAACTGAGAGAAATCTATCTTGATCATATTTCCGAATAAACTGTCTTCTTTCTTTATTAAACTTTAGTATTTTTATTCATATAATCTTTTATCTGTTTTTTTCCTTCGTAACATTATCATTTCAATTTATTTGGAACATTCGATATGTGCCATATTGTTATTTTTAGAAATAGATGAAATTGGTATGGTAGTGAACTTGTACTTTGATGTGCTATTTTTTCCTACTGGATAAAGTGATTATATGGAATAACGTTTTATTCATCCAGAACACCATTGCGGCTCTTCTGTCTAAAATGAACGATTTTATTGCGTATACGATCGACTCGCTGTACACTAGTTACCCAAACAACAACTAATCCACTACACATCAATAAAATTCAAATCAAGAACACGTAATTCTCCTTACTAGCATGTATATTAATTAATATTCGTCCGTTTAATAGTCTCACAAGTGATACTTCTACAATATTCCTTTGATCCCATCATTGTTTTGATGCTTGATTAAAGAAAACAAATGATTTTCTTCTTTTTGTACATTAGTGGTAATTACTGTTTATTAATAAGTTGTAGGCTCCATTGAATTGACTGTGATCAGTCACCATATAAGAACAGATATATATCATTCGACAAATTTGAATACTAACTGACTAATATTTTTATTAAGTGGAGAAAAAGATTTCGCTTCTGTAATATACCTATTTTCAATAAAGCTTTCATTCTACATGGCTTAATCCAACTCTCCACGGATTTTATAACCAATAGCCTATTCGCTAATGTTGTGGTGTTTTTTTATAAAAAAATTCCCACACTAAATAGAAATAATCGATCTGCTGTGGTATATGCTTAGTCTTATTTGCTACCACTCACTGCCATATAAATAGTATAACGTTATTGAATATATTGAGGTGAATTACCATTTGTCGTATTAAATGTCAAATTATGGATATATTTTAAAATATTAAATAGTTTACCTAATAATTTATATTTACAAACAGTAATAAAATCATACGAGTTACTAATTATACAGTGGTATTATAGTGAAATTTTTTTATCTTAATTAGTGGTCTAATCATCCACTAATAAAACAGTAAAATGTAATTGATTTTATTGAAGTTTGATACTTTAAACCTAAATGTCACAGGTTCATTTCTCTGAAAAATTCGATTCTAGGTTCGAACTTCACTCAATCTCTTTTTTTCGAAGTTGTAGATCATAGATTGATACACTAATCTATGTACTTCTAAAACTCATTCTATATCTTCCTACTGAGCATATCTGCACTTCTGTTGCTAAAATCTTGTGGTTTGAATTCAGCAAACGCTTTCATCTTTTTTGTGACCAAATTGTTTAGCATTGAAAATTATCAATAATTTCATTTTGCTTCGTCAATAAACTAATACTTTTCCAGTGTGTTGCTTATCGGTATGGAGGCAATTTAAAATTATCTCATACTTCTGTGTCCTGTGAATTTACTCATTCTTCTTGAGCTGTGTTATCCAAGAACAACGTTTCCTACTACTACTACTAATACTGCCACTATGCATTCTACTCTTGCATCTCATTGTACTGAAACGGTGTAAACACTAGAACCAATGCATATATTTTCCAGGTTCTAAATTTTTATGATTGACCGAATATATATTCTTATCTATTACAACATTGTCTTAATTTTAATATCTTTTACTGTTGGTTATTTTGCTTTTAGACTATAAAACCACGTTGTGCCTTTCATGCACCTGTTGGTGGTTTACTTATTTCTGGTGATTTTTGTCAACTCGAACTAAGATTATTAGCGTATTTCAGTAAAGATGTAGAACTTTTAAAACTTTTATCAGTAGTGGAACATTCGGGTCGAATTGTTGATCAATCCATTGAACCTAACTCAGAATCAGATGCATTTAAAAAGGTAAGGCCGTACAACTGTTTTGTTGTTGTTTGTTTTCGTTCCACAGGACTAAAATGTACATTTTTTATTAATTAAACGTTGATAATTGTTTAGATCGATTATCTGTGAAGATATGTTCAATTTGAAAGTATTTTTCATTAAAGGGAGTAACAAATAACCTGGTGTGTTTAAATTTGACACTCTCCAGGAATGATCACACGGTTGACGCATTAGAAATGTAGACTGTTGTATTTTGACTCATTTCCCGAAGAAATTTCGGTTTTCATGAAACCTCATGGTGTTGAACTCGGCTCCGCGTTGAAATTGAAGTTCAAGCTATCATAAAGCAGTTGTCAAATGCCCCCCCTCCTGGTTTCCATTAATTTTTTTTCCAGATAACTTAACTATTCATTGATGGACAAGGAGAAATAATAAAACAACAAACAGAAATATGATGAAAGGTAGACATTCGATGGATCAGTCTCTTTTTCCACTTTTTTAAGTTTCCTTATTCACATCATCGTGTTGAGGAATTCTTGAAAACCGCTACAAGAAAACTGACATGGTTGTATAAATGCTCTAATAAGTCTGTACTGTTATATTCTAAATTAAATTCCTCTGTCATTCTGTTAACTTATTCTTCAATTAAATATCGTATATAATTCATATTAAGTGGTGGATAAACGTTTGTTCTTTGATTTTTAACCTGTATTCTTATTTCGCAAACGATTTATTATTCGTCCGTACAACATTGTATTATTAATTGTATCTTTCACTTAGACTAATGCTGTCCTGTTTAAAATTAATATATTTATTAACTATTTATCAGAATTACTTCCCTATTATTAACAACTTGTAGTAAACTCTGTGATCACCTTTTTCATTGAAAAAAAGAAACTAAATTAACACTTTTTTAAATGCTTATTTTTTTAAAGTTAGCTGCCCATTGGTTAAATATACCCCAACCAAATCAAGTAACCGATGTTCAACGTCAACAAGCAAAACAGTTATGCTATGCTATTCTATATGGAATGGGTTGTCAAACATTGGCTAGTCAATTGAATATATCTCAGCAAAATGCCCAAAAGTTAATTGATAGCTTTTTAAACACTTATCCAGGTAAATGACTCAGTTGATTTATCAAAATAATACATACGGTTAGTCTTTGTGGTATTTTAAAAAAATTATCCTTCAATTAATTTATTTGTTTATATTATACGGGAATTTGTGAAGATTGCTGAATGTAGTAATTTACATGACAGAATGCTCGTAGTTAAATAATCATTGAAAGTCGAGGAATACTGAACATCTATTTCTTCCTTGCTCGTGACCATTCAACACTGAACATGTATGACACTACCAGGGGTCGAACTCTGGAATTTCAGGTTTTTAAGGATATGCTTAAGTTTTGGGCTATTCTGTTTAAATTCAATGGTTTATGTTCCTAACTTCACTCAGTTAATGATATTTTACGACCATTATGCATTGTCATTGGTAATATTTATCTCATACCCGACTTTTTAATGGCTACTCATTGTAAGTCTGGAAATTACATCTCAAAGTTATTTAGGCAGCAAAGTTTTTATATTCGATCTTTTTTATTTATATGAGTAATTTACCAAGTTCGATTTTTGGGTCCTCATTAGTGTCATCATGTCTATTCACGTACACTAACTTTATGTTTGGTTACAATGTCAAAATGTGATTTGACCGACCACTTATCTCTCATTAAAGAAATGATTTTATCAGCAAATCAATAAGTGCTAATATTATATGTACACTAAAACTGTGACGTATATTAAGAACATGTCAAAAAATTTCCATAAGTACAGATAATATAGTAAATCTATGTCAACTCATTGCAAACTTATATAACAGATACACACGTATGCAACAGAAATGAGGTCTACACGTGCACACACACTTATACTTTGTAGGTCACTTAATATACCTAGCAAACACTGTTAGAATTCATTTTTCTCACAATTGATTAATGCAGAAACTGTACACATTACAAAAGGGTGTTGACCAAGATAATCAGTAAATATAATTTAGTACTTGAAATTGAGGCAGTGTACACCAGACTGAAAAAGTTACCCTCATTCAATAGAAACGTTTCTGCTTCTATGTCACGGTAATTCATCAAGGAAATGAATAATAAGGCTATTTCAAATTTGTCTTGGATACTATTTAGTTTACATTAGAATTTCATGTTAAGAATTGAAAATATTGTTACGTGTGATAAATATCCCAGTATTTAATATCATACGCAACAAATAAACATATTAGCGAATAAGTTGGTCGAGATCACTTTGTACTTGGTAATAGCACCAATAAAATGCACGTCTCTATGGTTCTTGTTCTTTTAAAAGGCAAACAGATAACCACAGTGAAGTATTCACAAATAAAGGAGGATAAATTTAACGATAATATTATCATCTAAACTGCCAGTTTAAAACCTCACTCTCTGAAATAATCAATCCGAAGTACTTTTATAGATTTTTCTTTTTTTTTCTGGATCTGTATAGAAAAAGAGCTCTAATTCATTGTCCACTGGTTTTTATCGGAGTTGTGTTTTAGATTACTAGTTATTTCATTCTTTGAAACATCGTTTCTTAAAAAACACTGTAGGTGTTCAAAAGTTTATTACAACAACAGTTTTAACTGCTCATCGTGAAGGTCAAATTCAAACACTTAATGGTCATATCCGTCTCCTACCTGCGTTAAACTCGAAAACGGTATTTGACAGCGATACACCTTATGAACTCAACTGTAATTGGTCGAAAAAACATGATTTACGGGATCATTTTGCTGTTATTAAGGTTAGTATTTTCTACTTTATGGACAACATCGCTTATTGATTTTATGATACCTATCATTTGCTTTAGTTATAAATTTTAAAATCTCAATTGTTTTCCACTTCACCTACTGATATTAGTTGAAAGACCTGCAAAATTTCGTCAGCTGTCGATTCCCATTCTGAAATTGAGCGGCAGTTCCCACTCTCCTTCCCTCCTGTCAACAAATCTTAAAGTAATAGTTCTTCTGACTAGTACATTACCTAAATCGTGAGGCATATATTTTGAAACAACGACACTGTCCAGTACTTATTCTGTTGAGTGATTTCTTTTTTAAATCACTAGACTTCAGTTTTGAATCTCACTTCACTTATTTTGGCTTTGTCTATTGTGTGGTCTTAAACAAAAGAAGTGGCTATCTCAAACTCGACTACACTAACCTGTACTTGTATGTGTATGAATTACATATATTAGTTTAATCTTCGTTCATTTACTGAACTTAATCGACGTCTTTTAACTTAATCCAGTAACTAATGTTATGGTGTCTGAAGAGATTAGTGTTAAGTTCAATGGAAATACTAATATAAGCTGGGTTCCATGTACACTGAATTAGCAGGCATGTTCCAAATAAGGGGAGAAAACACACGTCCCCTAAATTCAACCACTCCTAAAAAACGAACAAAACTATGAAGTTATTTTTCATTGGCTAATCATTAACAGTAAAATAGGTTTGGTTACAATTAAATAATGGGGCGCTCGTGCACTTACCAGGTTGTAATGGTAATTATACTACACAGTTATCTAATGTAAAGTATAGGCGGGGGGCAGAGTTTTATTTTTTGATCGAATGATCAAAATCATTATGCGCCGCACGATATCGTCATTTCATTCCATTCTATTTATGTGTGGGCTGTGATACTGCTCGGGTGCCCAGACCGAAGCAGGTGGTTTTCTTAGGGGGCCACACCCCTAGCCTTTGACCTAAAGGTCTGACCCACAAGGCAGTGGAGCGTCGTGAGAAGATGCAGTCCCATGGTAGCCGGTGACCAAAAATTGGTCCATACGCCATTTGTTCCCTTAAGATACTGGAGCCCATGTGCGCCAGTGGTTTGCAATCAGGGTTTTCCAACTCCCCTAGGTGGACTCACCGTGTCCACCGGCCCGGTTAAAACGCTGGACGTTCACTTTCCGTCCTCTCAATTTCGTAAATAACACCCGTGGTGCGAGAAGGCAGTGAGTAGGACTTCCCTGGCAGTGGCTGTATACGCGTGCCCTTATGAGAGCATTTCGAGAGGGAGGGCGGACTCTCCACACTCTCGGCCGTACCAGGGCATTGTGCGGCAACCATGTCTATGATTAATTATTCCGTGTTTATTAATGTTTTTATCTTTGATTTATTTTTCCACTAGGCTGAACGTCAAGCTGTTAATAATATCATTCAAGGAAGTGCATCGGAAATAGCTAAGATTGCTATGTTAGCAGTTGACCAAGCAATTCATTCATCTAATATTCCCGGTTATGCTCATCTTGTCTTACATGAACATGATGAATTAATCTATGAAGTAAGTAGTGTTTGACCCCATAAATAACCTATTTCTTTCCATAATAAAACAACCCAAGAAGCTCTCCTTCACCTTACTACAGTACTCCTCAGTAATGTGCACCTATGTCTCCATCATGGATTTAAACCTAGTCATTTAGGCTTCACGATGAGCGCCTGACCTGCAAACAACTGACCGTTGGCGTTTCCAACTTCAATCAATTCACCATTTATATCTAACTCTTCATACATTTATATTTCAGATTTTTCCTGAATCATCCGTTAAACAATTCGGCGCATTAATTCGACAAACAATGTCTAATACAAGTAAACATTGCAATATCAATATCCCACTCCCAGTAAAATTGAGAATTGGTAATAATTGGTCTGATTTAAAACAAGTTAATTGGTGATCAAATATGCATTTATAATTATTGTTTCATTATTATTTCAGCTTTATCTTGGTTATTGTTGATGTTTGTTAAATTTCCCTTTATCTTATACGATTAAATTTATGAACGAATATTACATAATGAGAATCAATGTACTAATATGTATGCATTTCACGTACTGAACCTAACTCAGGGATATGATAAGTATTGCTTTTCTATGTATGTTAATGTGTTCGTTTTCTTGAAAAATAACTTGTGATATAATGTGTATTATTTATCAACCATAAACCAATTAGTTTTTTCTCATTTGAATCAAATAAATTTTTTAAGATGAAAATCTAGTCTTCTCCCAAAAAAAGTTATTTTCACACTTATTTCTCAAGTGATTCATTGTTATCGATATGGGGATTTGTAGATATTGCAGTATTTTCAAAGTCAAATTCACAAGGCAATATAAGCTAGACCACCATCGAAAGCCTGTAAGCACTGGACGGCCGTTTCGTCCTACCTAGTATGGGACTTCTCAGCAGTGTGCATCCACGATCGTACACGCTAGATGCCGGCTCAGTGGTCTGGAGGTTAACCGTTCGTGCGCGGAACCGATGGTCCTGGATCCGAGTCTCACGTGTGGGATCGTGGATGCACACTGCCGAATCCCATACTAGGATGGAATAGCCGTCCAGTGCTTCCACGTTCTCAATGATAGTCTAGCTTAAATTGATTCGTGAATTCGATTTTGATTTATTGTTGTTTATTGATCATTCTTCCGATCCAAAGATTATTATTGGCTATCTTTTGATATTTTTGTTTTGTGAAATTAAGACTACTGCTGTACGAGGTATCAGTTACACTTATCAACATTACAGTTCATTTTTTTTAGTGTTTACTACCTAGAAACCAAAAGATAGGAAGGTTTTCTTCCACCTTTAATCACCATTCATGTACGTAGTCCATAACCATTCAATCACTTGTTCAATGTATCTAATTAAACTTGATTTGAAGGAAGACGCGATCTGGCTGCATAGCTGACATGAGCATAGTTGCACATTTCTCATTTACATGATATCTGAACAAAGTACTACTCAGTATGTGAAGTAAAACTGTGATTTAACTTGTTTAATTATTATTATATAAAAAGTTGGTTTAGATCCTGTCGCTACGGAAGGTCCTTTTTACTACAGTCCCAGTTATCATCCCGACGTATTGAACAAAACGTAATTCAAAAATAAAAGTGTACGATAAATCAATACCCAAGGTATTATTTTTTCCTTTAAGCAAACAGTCCAATGACAAAAAAAATCTTACTATAAAGAGTTTATCTATCTCAAATACGGTGATGATATGATAAATAGGGAAGTCAACAAAAAATAACATAGCATTGTAAATAAAACATCAATTCTATCAACAAGTAGAATGTATTAAGGCTGCAACACGTTCACCTTGAACTGCATATTCGTTATACAATTTGAATGCTTTTTACTCGTCTCTACTATTACTTTAATATGTGGATCAGATTGATTTATGTGATCAATTAATGATTGGGGTACTTTCAACTGAGATAGTACTCCTTTACTCAGTATAATAATATTTGGTTTATAACTGAGTAGTTCATCAACATCCTGTTTCTGAATCCCTGCAAAATGACCAGTGCCAGATTCGTTCCAATCCCATGCACGACTACCATTTGGCCACAGTTTTGCATCTCGGTATGTGATTAACTTGTTTGGATTGATTGTTCCATCTTCAGATATTGTTTCCACTGTAATGGAACCCCATGACATATTTTTAATGAGTGGTGAACACTGAGACATTGGACAAAGATATTTACTAGGTCGTGTAACAGTTAACTACGGAAAAAAACAAAGTGGAATGCATGTATATTAGATGGTAGTAATACACAGCATACGCGATTTGGAACACAATTTGTAATGTATATGAATATTCGTCAATATTAGAACGAATAGTGTGACGGAAACTGGGCATTGAGTATAGAGAAGTCATTATATGTGAAAATTATATTTGAAATAATCTCAGCGATTGAAATTTAAATTCTCCCAGAAAACTTGTCTGGACTTCAGAGTAATAATCAAAATTTGTAATGTATAACAATATTCATAATCTGATATGAAGCTGTGTAACGCGGGTTCGAGTCACACAAAGAGCATCGCTTCTGTCAATATTATAGCTATACCTTGCTAACGAGTGCCAACAAGCACGAAAACTGAGTCCACGATTCCTTGATGACTCACGAGAATTTTATCACTCATGATAGGTTGATGTTTTACCCAATACTCGGTAAAATGGAACAATTAAAACGACAGAATAATTGTCTACAGCATATCAGATACGTCTAAATGATAAGTGATAACTAAGACAACATGGAAAATATAATAAGATGTTGCTTTCAAATTTTGGACCACACAATCTAACTTTAGTAATCTGGCCTTGAAGAAATCTAATATCCTCAAACTTCATTTGCTCGATTTTAGCAATCTAATTACTGTCATGGATAAGGTAATAAAAAACAAAAAAATTGTATCGAAACCCAAGTCACCAGTTTGTGAATGCATTATTTACCGGATCACATGAGTAGTGTTCTACCGATTCGCATCACTGTTCTACTCACCAATAATGAAAACAAGGGAATTACCGTGTTGAGCTGGCAAAAAAGACAACTACCCTTGATAAATCCAAGCATTAACAGTTTATTTATCACATGAGAAAGCAAATAACAACACTAAATTATAAGCTACGACATTTTTGTACCATTACCCTGATCTTAAACCTGTGTTAGGTAGATCGCCTTAAGATTTGAAATGTGACCCAACGATGGCAAACATAGTGTGTATGTAATTGAATTCTACCTGGAAATCCATCAAATTTGTTACTGAACGTGTATTGATTAAATAACCATGGAAAATCAGAATGAAACTATTGTTCGATACGTTTCAACTGGTATAAGTTAATAATGAAAGCTACTGTCAAATTATAAATTACTGTCAAGTTCAATACTAATAACAGTAATAAAATATTGATTTTCATATGAAAAGATCGAAGTTTCAATTACTTTGTAAAATCTAATGTAAACAGCTGACGCAAATAAAGCAAAACCACCGACAACTAGAAATAAGTACTAAAAATAAAAAAGAGTAAAAAAGGAATTATGTTATTGTCATTACTATTTTAATGAGCCATAAGTTTTAAATGTTGAGCAAAACTCCTATACTACTGATAATTAACACGTCTGAATATCAGTATGTTAGTAATAACATATAAGTGAGCAAGTCTGAAAATAGCCAGCACTTGTGAAATTCTAAACTAAATACCTTTTCAAGAATATAATTAACATTCTACGAAAAGATGAAATTTTCGGGACTAAGATGATTTACTAAAAACAAAACAGAAATCACTCAGCAGACAGCTATGATATAAAATCATATGATCTTAGGGCTATATCGCAAACTGATTGAAGTTAGAAATGTGGATTATTGGATCCTGACCCAGTGGACAGTGAAACTAGAAAGTTCATGTATCGATGCTGACACAATGTTGCAAGTTTGGATTTTTGGGAATTCAGAAAATATTATACCACAGTAGTTTGATCTTCACAATGATTTTCAAAACCTTTTTAGATGGTATTACTTTTTGAAAACCAACTTCGAAATGCTCACTAGACTATTTAAAAAGTTGCCTTCATTGCGTAAGGCAAGAGACATATCAGACTACAGCATATTCAAATGATTTTATTTACTAAAGTACTAATTGAAGAAGTCAGATATAACATGACCTTAACATAAAACTTTTGCAAGTTAGACAATAACACAGTCGGATACCAGTTCAGTGGTCTAGAGGTTAAGCATTCGCGCTCAAGACGAAAGGTCTTGAGTTCGATTCCCGCATGGAGGTCACAAATGAGTACCACCGAGGAACCACATGCTGGGACGAAACGGTTGTTCAATGTTTCCAGATTTTCAATGGTGTTCAAGCTAAGATCAGTCCGTGACTACAACTGTGAAAGTAAATTTTATCTAGAAAAAAATCCATCTTATGAAAGTATCATATACTAAAAATTCTTAGTCTTTTCGTATTCACCACTCTTATTCATCATTCTACGTCAGTTTGAAAACACACTAAAATAGTTTTACTTCAATATAATCACAGACAGTATCAAAACACTACGAACAAATCGTACCATTATCATTATAGGGTTGTGGAGATTGTTCAGTTTCAATTGAGATCATGAACCAGTTAATGTTTGGTCCCGCACGCGGGATCGTGGATGTGCACTGTTGAATAGTCCCATACTAGGGTGAAACAGCCGTCCAGTGCTTCAATGGTGGTCTAACATTGATCAGTTCATGATTTTAATTGAAAATCCTACTATGTAATATTAGTTGACTCTCTCTCCAAATAAGTGCTTAAATCTAAATTAATAAACTTCTGTTAGTTCATATGAATGGTATCAAGCTATCCACACAATGTTCAGTATCATAATTTGCTAACTCATCGCAATGATATGAAGTGATTAGTGCATGCATGAACTAGGGCGGAGACTGATGAAACTATATGTCATTGGCTGTAGGAAAATTATGCTTATATGACTATTGATATAAAAAAACTTATTCGAAAAGAAAACCCACTTCTCAAGATAATATTTAGATGGCGTAAAATGAGAAGATAAACAAGTTGAGAATTAAAACTTTGAAGCAATACAGATGAAAATATAAGTAAAACATAAAAAGAATCACAGCACTCACACATCTACTGATCGTATATACGAAAATCAATTATCCCCGAGTTTGTTTGATAGAATTATAAAAGCTGTTGTCTATCATCACACAAGAAAAGCTTAAATTTTGTTGTGACTACAGGTTTAATAAGACGGGATATTCATAGACTATAGACTATCCTATTCTATAGACTACTGCTACGAAGGTTTCTTTAGAGCAAACCACTGTGAATAGATCTCAAGTAAAAGATGAGCATGTACACTTACCGTTTGCTTTTGTTAGACTACGAAT